TTAATTTCGAATAAAAACAAATCGTTTTGAAGGAAGTCTTATCTTTTAATTGCTAATCTACAAATTATGAATTAAAAAGAGGAATTTTCAGGGATTTGTAAAAAAATTTTAGAAAATTTATGAAATAAGAATTTGCATTTGGCATTCGTTGCTGTGCTAATCATATAATCACAGCTTCTTTTTTATCAAAAAAGGAATCCTAAAGGAATTTTTTTTTTCGTACTCATAATATTCTTAAGCAACGTTTCGAATCATAAACAAGTGCCTATTATCTGAATTTCGTCTGAATCTGATTTCATGTGATATGTTTCAGTCGTTATTTTCATTAGAAATCATTGAAAATATTGAGATTAGTGGCTGCTATGTCATTTATATATTTCTATTTTCAAGCGATTATCTGGAGAAAACATTCTATCTGAACAGCTGATAAAGCGAGTTTTAATCACTAATCAGTTAACTAATACATCCCATTTATAAGTCTATTTGTCTTCTAGTTTTCAACCGTTTACTTGAATAAATTTTTCTTCTATTAAATTTATCAAATGAAATTTTAATTTTAATTCTCGCATGCGACAATTCTATCAAATGTCAAATTCATAATTTTACTAGTTTAGCAAAAAAAAAACCAAAATTAATTTCTTCTGGCCATTACTACTTGAAGAAAATAGTTTGGGCGAATTTTTATTTTCTTTCGTAAATTTCTTTCCAAAAATGGTGAACTAGTTTTTCGTAAATTAATTTTTAGATGAACTAAAATGCTAAATAATCAGTGGAACCAAAACAAGAAATGATGATGCATGTTATCAGAAGGTTTGATAAAGATGATGAATCGTGAAGAGTCTTCCGCTGCATAATTTTATGAAATAGAAAAAGGAAATCAAAACTTATTTTTGTTCTTTTGATAAATGATAATGGATTTACACAAATAAAATGTTAAGCATCGATTGGTTAAGTTAATCTTATCACTCAAATTTATCATATTCTTTTTCTCATTCCTATTCTAATTATGAAAGTTAGTCAATCGGATCATATTTCCTGAACAGCTGTTTATAATTTTCTTCAATTTTTTTTTCTTTTTTTTTCATCATTCTTTTCTATTGCGTAGTTAAGTTTTTAGAATATCAAATATAGTTTTTTTCTTTAAGAAAACTTCATTCTTTATTGGCTGACGTGATTTGTTATTTCCAACGAGGAGGATTTTTTTCGATTAAGCCATTATTACTATCAGTGATGGCACCAGATCGCGTAGCTTGGAAACTCTGCCTTAGCCTTCTTACCAGCAGAGCCAACCAGTAGTGGTGAGAGCTGTTAGAAGAAGAAGGCATTATCGGCGCTTCACCAACTCCCTTTGACGTGATCATTAGAAGTGAGTAATGGATAGTGTTGTGGACCATTCTTTACCTATCATCGTTTTTTTTTTTTAACATGGATTCCGATCATTTAGACTTAATTCGTTTCATCATACCACTGCCTATGGTACTTTCAATTAATGCAATCAATAATTCTTAAAATGAGCAAAGAAAAACCTTAAACTAATGCTTAGGTGAAATTGAAATTGAATTATTGCTGTTATTAATTATTATAATTATTATAATTTTTTAAAAGCATTTATTGTTACGCACTCGGCTGGCTTGTTGGGATCGGAGAAATATTCCAGGAAGACCTTTGGTAATATTGGTGATACAGGTGAATTGCATTACCTGGATTTTTAAAGGACAGGTTCACTCTTGCCGCATTATTATTGTTGTTATCATTATTATTGTTATTATTATTAATTAACATCATCATATTTTTGTTAATTATTATTATTCAGCTCATAAAGGCATTTTATCAGTCTGTATATATGGGGAAGATTCTTTCTGACTGACAGATTCCTTCGAAGTAAGAACTGGTGTCCATCAGAGTCTGCCTCCTTTCCCCTACAGCTATAGATTCAACTATAGATAATGGGTATCGCTTGTTGGCACTCAAGACGCGTACAAATTAGTTGAGAATATAGCACCACAGGCCTTGAATACGCTGATGATGTAGTCCTTTTTGCTGACAGTTATAATGAAATGCAAATAATGTTAAACAATGTGTCAACAATTGCAGCGAGAATTGAACTGTAAATAAAACCAAAGTGTTTTCGTCTTATACACAAGATGTTGATAAAACAATGTTGATACTTTTATCAATCCATTGTCGGTTGAAGTAATACCCGATTTTAAAAACCTTGAATTAATTCTAATCCCAAATGGCTAAGCGAAGGATGAAATTATGAAATTATGATAGCGACGGCTTGAAATATGATTTCCAACTGACAAAATCTTTATGGAATCGTCGCGAAATCACCATATAGGCGAAAATCCGCTTCTATACAGCTGTAATTGGCTCGATCTTGTATATGGCTGCGCAACATGGACAATGAGAGTGGACAATGAGTGGTACTTTTGACCACTCATGTCTAACATATATTGACCATACATTTTACCACCGATGGAAAAAGGAATGGCTTCTATTACCACTAGTGATGGCGTCGGACCGAGCAGCTTGGAGACGTCATATTCTCGTAGCCAGCAGAGCCAGCCTAACAGTGATGGTGAGAGCTTTTAGAAGAAGGTGAAGAATGATCATTATTATTGTTTTCACTTATTATTATTATTATTAATTAATAATATTAATACTAATAATATTAGTTAATATTATATACTAATATTATATTAGTTAATATTAATAATATTAATATTAACTAATATTAATACTAATTATTATTAATAATTAATTGTTATTATTAATTATTGTTATTAATTTATTATTGCTATTATTTAGTAATATCATTGTTGTTTTATAATATTATTACTACTTAATAATAATTTTATATTAATATTTTAATTTTATATTAATATTAATAATATAAATATCATTATTATTTATATTATTAATAATGCTTATTTATTATTATTTAAACTGTTAGATTATCATTTATCATTTAACCGCTGTAAAACCTCATTTTTTATCAATTTTATTATCATCCTTCGCTTTTTTATCTTTTCTTTGAATGAAATTTTAATTGAATTTTTTTATGATTCGAGTCCAGCTGACTCATTACGCATCTTTGGGTAACAATATGGCATAAATAAAGGGATAAAGCGAAGTAAGAATGGCCTATTGAATTATTACTCTCACTTTGGACCACCAATGTTGGATTTCTACTCTCAAACTTATCCTTCAAATGTCCAGGCGATACTGGCGATTCGTCTAAACTTCTGTCGCCAAGTGACTCCTCGATAAAATTTTTCTGATCCAAGTTCTAGTCAAATGAATTTTCGGCAGTTCAAAATTTTTTTTTCTTTTTTTGAAATTTTTCTGGAATGGTTAGATTTTATAATCATTTTTTGGTAGAATTTCGTTTAATCCTCAACAAAATCCGTGCTAAAAGCCATTGTTTTTGGCTGAGTCGCACGAATTTCCTATTGCCGTTTTTAATTCAAAACTTATAATAATTTGATCTTTATTATTCCAAGCGAAAAATGGAAATGGGGTATCTAAAACTTGTTTTATAAAGGACAATGAATTAATGCCGTAAGTTCGAGCTCTAACTTGAGGTTTTTACCGGATGCGAACGGTAGCGAATTTTCGAGTATCGAGTGGTTTCACCACTAATCCATATTAAGCCGAGAATTCAATCCTTTGATTTATGATTCCGTTCTATTTATTAAATACGTCTCGGTGTTGGTTTGTTTTATGGGTCAACGAGGGTCAAGGATGGTTCTTAAGCTTTTTTTCTTGCTACGCCAAAATGTCGGAAAAAACCTAAGTCTATCTCTTCTGTAAAATAAATGTTGGCTTTTGCAATTATTTAACGAAAAAACTCGTCTATTAATTTTTATTTTATTACGTTTGCATCACTATTAATTAATTAATTAATTGAATAATTAATAATTATTTAAATAAAATTTTCGTTAAGTTTTTTTAAAATTTTTATTAAATTTGTAAAATTCGCCTATTTGATAAATTTAAATTTTAAAATTTATTGAATAATTGATTTTATTTATTAATAAAATCTATTGGTTATTATTCATAAATTTAGTAAATATCATTTTAATTTTAGAATTTTTAAAAAATATTTTTTATCGATAACTGTTAATTTTTCGACGGTGAATTTTTTTATTTTGCTCATAAATTATTTTTTTAACGATTAAATATTATCTCTTTTCTTCTATTTAAAAGACTGAATGATAAAGTTTATATGAGAATAAATAAGAAATAGTTCGATTCCTATCGCTTAATGGTAGTGAACTTGGGGTTTTTAACGTATAGATGGACCAGCGATATATGGACTTAGACGATGGAAAGGGAATGGCTTCTATTACTATGGCGTCGGACCGAGCTTGGCGACGTGTTACCCTTGTAGCCAGTGGAGCTAGCCCAACCAATAATGGTGAGAGATGATAGAAGAAGAAGAAAAGTACGAGGCTTGCTTATATCTCTTTCTTTAAGTGGAAAATCCTCTGGCGAAAGTGAGATCCAAATTAATTCGTAGTTACTGGAATCAATAGAAAACTTTTATTTCTTGGTTAAAGGTGCCAGTATTTTACGTATTGGTTATCAGATACTTCGAGTCGTAGTCACCGGTTTGAGTCCCAATATTCGTTGTAACACTTTATTAATGCTAGCAGAGCGCAATGATTTCTCTTTAATAGCTTTGTTTGTTTTTGCTGGCAATTCCCAAATTTCATTTTTCTAATTTAACACTCGCTCAATTATTGAATCGAGCTTTTCCATTTTCGCAAACGCTCATCCCACAACGGCTGTTGTTGCCTTCTTTATTTTGCTTACAGGATAACCTTAGTCAGTTTATAGTTTAGAACGATAATGGAGTATTGTCGTCTTTTGATATTAAACGGTTTATCTCCAAGTACTGTAGTTGCTTATTTCTTTTTCAGGTTTTTTTCATTACATGGTTCAGAATAAGGCGAAATATATCGTGTTATATCGTCTCTTTAAAAAATACAATAATGAAAAATATTGATGAAGTGGATGAAATTTTTGTTCGGACATTTAATGGAAGTAATGATAGCGTAAATGCAGAAACGCGATCTGCGCCTGGTGATTTGCAGAAACCATCTTCGTCGAGAGAATTTGAATTTCTTGCCAGTATGTTTTTTGTTTATTCTCCTCGGATTGACTTTGAACTTCATGGTATATATAGCTGAACACACATATATGCTTTAAGTCATAGAGTTTTTTTCTGTTTCTGAACTATCCATTATCTTCTCTCTTATTGTAGAAGAAAGATTTTTTTTCTCATACGAAGTTGAGATAACACTATTCACTATTTAAATTATGAAACAGAAATGAATCAAACTAGTTTTGGTTTTGCGTATAAAATTTGCTACAGTTTTAACTTTATAGATGATCCACGTTGCTTCGATCAATATTTACCAGAGTTGACGAATGCCGAAATTTTTCCAGATAGTCAATCGAAGGCTGTTCATACTCAACGCTCGAGGCCTGTTGGTCATTATAGGTCTATATTTTGCATTTTAACATAACTGATAGAAATAACTGTTATTATTATTTGAATTATTTTTTCCATACAGTAAAAAAAAATGTAGGAATGTAAAAAATGGATTCGCTTCGGGGCCACCCTGGCCAAAACGTGAGAAGCCCTGGTCAACAGTTTGTGTTTGGCAAAAGCATCAACAAATTCAAGCAATTGAAAAAGAAATCAATGTTCTAGCGAATGAAACACTCGTTGGCATTCGTAAATGGAGGTATATTTCGTTTATAAAAATTAATGAAGTTAAAATTTTTTTCTTGAACAAAAAGAATTATTTAAATCATTGGCTGTATTCTGCAATTCATTTTAGACCAGCTTGGTTACAACGATTTAGCTCTCGTAATTGGATGCTTTTATGGTTGTGCTGGTTTTGTACAGTTCAAGGATTATTAGTTAATGGTCTTGTGCCTTCTGCGATTACGTCAATTGAACGAAGATTTCAATTTAGTTCATCCACAATAGGCCGAATAATGCAAGTGCGTTTCTTTATTTTTTTATTCTTTCTTTCAATAATATTTTATTTGCAACAAAGTAAACGTTTGCACTTTGAAAAATTTTAAAAAAGTTAAGGTGAAATCTTTTCTGCTCGTTGTTTTTAAATTAGTTTTTAATTTTAATTATTTTTTATTGTTAATTTATTGAAAAATTAATTGAAAATTTGAAAGTTTTAAAGAAGTATCTGCATTTATTTAATTGAAATAGTGAAAAATTTTTAGTTCTATGATTTTGGCTACGTGTTGTTTTGCATACCAGTATCGTATTTTGGTGGTAGGCACTCAAAACCAATGGTACTAGCAACTGGTCTACTTTTGATGGCATTAGGAAGTTTAATTTTTACAATGCCTCATAATTTTTCCGATTCATATACATATAATACAGAAGAAGAAAGTTTTAGTAAATGTGGCATTAATCGCCATTTAAATAGTTAGTTTTTTTCATTCTTTCGAATTTTATATTTTTTTTCAGATTTTCAACCATTATCATTCTTGCTTGCTTGTCATAAATGAAAATTATTTTAGTCAATTATCTTAAAATTCTTATTTCCATTATCGCTTTTTTTCTGGAAAATTATATCACTAAATTTGTTTCAAAAACCGTCCAAACAGTAATCTACATCTTTCGTTTTAGATGCTATTACTATTGTTACATTGGAGGCAAACAAATCTGTCCATCCGTCAATTTCGGTCGCTAGTGCCGAAGCTTTAAAGAGCTGTCCTGCACCCGAGAATCAAGTACCGTATTCTTAAAGTCTTTTTTTCATTGTTTTTTTTATTTTTAGCTCTATTTCTTACGATTTCTCAAATCTATCAGATCATTAATATATTTTGATTCATATGAGGCTCCTAATTTTCTTCAATTGCTCATGCTATTAGTAATTTGATTGTTTTTTCATTAATATCATCCACATTTCTTCGCCATTTAATTCAAATATACATTAATTATACATCATTTTTTTGTTTGTGGGCGATAACAACTGTCTTTTTTTGAAAATTCCCTTTTGCTTATTTATTTCCAGTTTGTTTATTAACATAAACATAAATAATTTTTTAATTATTGGTTAATTGAATAATATTTTGCTATAGCATTAATTAGTATTTATTATCTATTTTGCTGCAAAGTTTTATTTGCAAATTATATTTATTTTTATTTGCTTAATATTTTGTTGATACAAGCTGAGCCGCGAATAATTTGTTATTTTATCAGCATTAAATAAACGAAATTTCAGTCGGGGACATTTCGATATGTTTTTCTCTTTTGTTTGGCGCATTTTCTTCATGGTATTGGCGCCACTCCTCTATTTACGCTAGGAGTTAGCTACATCGATGAAAATGTTGGACCAACATTATCATCACTTTATCTTGGTAATCGTTTATGCAAAAAAGTATTGCTTACCTATTAGAGCAAAAAATTGGAATGAAATTTTAATGCATCAGATTTTTTGCCAAATTTTATTCATGCCTTAAATATTACTCATGAAGATGATTTAGGAATATTTTATGCATTTGCTATATTTGGTCCTGCATTTGGTTTCTTAATGTCTAGCACTTTTCTTCGATATCATACAGATTTTTTGCAATCAGATCATCAGTTTGCGTGAGAAAATTTTGAAATTCGCTTAAAATTTCTGTTTAAAATTAAAAATTTTTCATGGTCCAAAAAAATCTGCAAAAATTTTTTTATTATTATGCCAGATTTTTTCTTGATTCCATTTCATTTTTGCAGAATTCGGATTAATAATACATTTGATAATAATAATGCTGCATTTTTTCAACGACTTTAAATTTAGAATTCTGAATATTGATGAAAGTGATCCGAAGTGGGTGGGAGCTTGGTGGATTGGCTTTCAAATTGCTAGTTTCTTGGCTGTTGTTGCTGTATTTCCGATTTTGATTCTTCCAAAAGTTCTGCCAGAGTCGCTTAAGTGGCACAGGTATATAGTACGTGTCCTCTCTTAATTAATGGTGTGGCGAAAAGTTATTTATCATGGTAAAAAAATCAGTTCTAATAAGTTCTGAATGATCTACAAAAATTGATTGAAAAAGCGTATCGAATTTTTTTTGCTGTTCATTGCGTTTAAATTTAAGAAAAAATTTCGCAATATTCACACAGTATTTTTGCTATTTTATTAAAAAGCAAACAATTAAGATTTAAAAACAACAGCAGTTCAAATCTTATAGGACGCGTTTACACGAAGAAACAATGCAGGGCTCTAAAAGGCGTACACCGGATTGTTGTGGCATACCATCAGCTAGTAAAACAGCTGCAGTTTGTGGACCCTTGTTACCAGCCAGTGGAGAAGGTACATTATTATATCTTCAATGTAATTATATAATTATAGAATAAATTGCAAAATGTTTGAAAAATATGAAAGATTTTTGATTTAATGGTTTAATTTAATAATATTCTACTCTTCCTCAACTATTTACTTATTTTAGAACAGCAAAGCCTACCCACTATAGCGATTGGCGAATCTATGCCAGCTGTACAGAGCAATCGTGGACCAATCTGGTATCATATTTGGCTCGATGTTCGACACATACCTATCGCAATATATCGAACACTCTCAAACGGCAGCTACATGCTTATAACAATAGGAATGGCAGTTGATGGTATGTATCCTATGTTCACAATGTTTTATTACTCTAATTTCTGTTTCGAAAGCAACAGTTGTTAATTTAAAATATTTTCTCGAAATATTATTTTTCAATAATTTGTGATATTTAGGTTATTTTTTAATTTGGCAATAATAAGTATTTTAAATTGAAGAATTTGAATGCTTCAAATTTGAGATATGATTTGTTGGTCCATTTTCATCATTTTCATCGCTTTTTTCCGCTTGTTTTATTCTAAATTTTTACTTAATGCTTAGTTTTTTGTCTTTTGCTTTAATAAATAATCTCTCTAACTTAAAAAAATAATTCCTATATTTTGCTCGTATATTTTCCAAATAAGTACTTTTCAGTAATAGAGGTAAAATGCCCAAATATGCCATATCCACCATATTTATATGATCCTCGCATTCCAAAGTTCTTTGTTCGATATTCGTCGAGTTCTTTGAATTCGTTCGTTTTATTGGAATAATTTTCTAGATTTCTATTATCTCTAAAAAATTGTAGCAATTTTTTAATAAACCTAAATCGAAACTATAAATTACATATTTTCATGAAGCCGACAAAATTTTAAGAATGTTAATTTATCACTTCTAACATTTATTAGAGAAAATTTAAGAGAAATTAGGTGATTTTTAAAATGTGAAGGAGTAACATCAAAAAAATTAGTTAGCTATTCAGTACTGAATCAAATAATAGCTGAAATTCATTACTGAATCAAATAATAGCTGAAATTAATAGCTAACAAAATTAATAGCTGAAATAATTGAAAAAGCTCTCACATTCCTGCAGTATTACTGCGATATTTCTCAGTTTCATATTCATTCGTTTTCATTGTTACTTCACGATTTAGTTTTGATGTCGTTTGATGTTGAGATTCGTAAATCTCTCGAAATTTATCTTTTGAATCACATAATACGTCTAGATGATAAAGGTTTAATAAAAGTTTTTAATCATTTAACATGCAGTCAATATCAAAAAATATAATTCAGATTATCAGTAAAGTTATCAATAAAATCAGGATATTCGATTTATGATTTCGGTTTCTTGATATTTATTTTTTTCGAATATCCCTATTATTAAAAAAAAATGATAAATCTAGAAGAGGAAACAATACTATTGTAGTCCACTGGCATTTCCTTCCGAAACTTCACGATAAGGAGATTTAGGCCATTAGAAAGAACCTATAATCATTGAAATCTAGGATTCCAGGTTGGTAGATTGTACAATGAAGTAAACTTACAAACAGCTTGAATTTGCGGACTGAGTTGGTTTGATAAGATTATAGTGAATATTATGGAATAGACCGAATGGTGTTGCATGAAAATTTTACTATAGAGAATAAACAATTAAGGAAGAAACGGGAATAATATAGGACGAAAATAAGGACATTTTTTGCTAAAATAAGAATGAGACTAGTCATAATATTAATTTTCTTTCGTATTATTTGCATTTGTTCGTTTTATAAAATAATTTTATTAAAGTTTTTTTCTCTTCTAACAACACGTATCCTTTCTAATTTAAATGATTATACTAGTTTAGCAGGAATCTCCAAATCTCCAAATCGCCTGGCTTGGCATCGTTGCTGAAATTGCAGTCATTTTTTCTTCCGAAGTCTAAATTCATATGTCATTGGTTGGTTGCTTCGTTTCTTGATTAAAAATTTTTTCAGGTTTAATTATAACGGGCGCCTCCACATTTATGTCGAAATATTTGGAACGACAATTCAGTGTTGCGCCAAGTAAAGCGAATATGCTGATCGGTTGGCTTTTTGGCTTTGGCTTTTTAATTCCTTTTTTTTTCTCTTGTTGAATAAGTAAATTTTTTTGTTCGATTCCCTTTTTTATGACCTTATGATTTCTTGATGAGTTTTTTATGATTTCTTTTTTTCTAAATTTAAATAATTGTGGTTGAGAATTATGTTTGCCTCATTTGGCCTTTTCTGTAAGTATCGTTCATCGAAAAATAGGAGATAAAATGGCCCAGTGGGCTGTTCAATTCAGAACGCCGATGCTGAGATTTTATTTCCTGCAGGAATAGACCTGCTTAAAAATCCGGCTGATGCTGGCTCACCTACATTTTTATCGCAAAAGTAATCCCTAGCATATTTGTTTAATACGATAAGCCAGCGCAGTGAGTCTAACTAGTGATGCTGAGGATTCTTTAAAAAAAAAGTCATGGCAAACTAGATATCAGTTCAATTGTTTCAATTTAGGTTGTATAATGGTACCAATGGCTGGAATTGGCACAATGTTTAGTGGATTTGTAATCCAGAGATTTCGATTGAGTTGTGTAAAAACGTTAAAATTTTGTATTGCATTGCTGATGTGTTCATTATTATTATCGCCAATGTATTTAATTTATTGTGATCATGATACTTTGGCTGGTATCGAATCATATTATGATATTGATGTTGGCAGGTTCTGTTTTTTTTTTCAGTTCTAAATTTTGGAATTTTTAGAAAAATTGTGAGAGAATTTATTATGAGAAAAATTAGATCGCTGCGCTATTGAGGAAAAAATTTGAAAAATCTCGGCCAATGATAAAATATTTCGAAATTTCTTTAGTCTTTTAATGGATCATTTGGCATTATATATATATCATTCTTATTTTTATAATATTTTTTAGTTCATCAAATCAATATTTTATGAATTCTACGGAACATCCTCCAACACTGTTTTCAACATGCAACCAGCATTGTGACTGTGTTGATAGTGAATATCATCCTGTGTGCGCTGAATTTCATGATGGTAAACAGACGGCGTTTTTTTCACCATGCTATGCTGGTTGCGATAAAAAATATGAGCCACTGCAGAAGGTCAGTTTTATTAAATTCTCCTCATATATTTTTGTTATTTTTTGACTTATTCTATTTTCATTGCAGAAATATATTAAAGTATTCGAAAAATACTGGGACCAGTATTTTGCATTGTTTATTTGATGATTCCAGGCTAATAGTATTTTATCAAAAAAAAATTTTGCAATATTTTTGAAAAAAATATAAAAATATGAAGCTTTCGACTAAAAGTTTGAAGCGGAATTTCGAACTTAATTTAATCTAATCTAATAAGACATAAAAAGATTTTATTTCAGTTCTATCACAATTGTTCTTGTGTACCTAATGGTACCAAATTTGGTCCAAAAACTGTGAAAAATGGTTTCTGCGAATCGAAGTGTACCGGTCTCTTTGGATTTCTCATAATGTTTGCTCCGTTTTGTTTCTTTGCATTTGCTATCGGTGTACCATTAATTTCGGTTGTTTTAAGGTAACTTTTATGAATATAAATTTATAAAATTTAAAGTTATTTAAGTGTTAAATCTTATAATTCAACTGATTCCAAATTTTGCTCGGCTATCGTTGTTAATTCTCCGTTCATTGCTCAACTGATTATTTGGTCGTAAATTGTTTTTATTTAAATTTTAATTTTTATTATTTAATTTTTATAATTTTGAATTTTAATTATTTAAATAATTTTTAAATTTTTTTTTGAAGGACAGTTGATTATGCTGAACGTTCTTTTGCACTGGGTATACAGTGGATTTTGGTTCGAGTAATTGGGACGATACCAGCTCCAGTTTTATTTGGTTGGATGTTTGATGTTTCATGCATTCGTTATGATCTAGATGTTTGTTCTGGTTTAGTAAGTTTTTTATTTTTTTAGTTTATTTTCTTCTGGCTTGAATTTATTTCCAATAGTAAATATGAATGGAGCAATTTAAGCATTTGCAGATATACTAATTCAAAAAATTTGAAATCTATATTTTTTCAGCAAGGAAGTTGTATGTTATATCAGAATAAATTGCTGGCAGATTTGTTTTTAGCTTTCAGTGTTGTTGGTCAGGTATATTGAATTTTATTATTTAATTCAGCATTTTCCTATTTTTGCAGATTGATCCACGTATATTAACTTTTTACTCTCATATCATATTTTTTACTCTCATCAAGGGACTGAGGGCAGTTCTGCCTTTAAAGTATTAATAAATATGAATGGAGCGATATTTTTTTGAATTTTTTTTTCCAGACTATTGCGATGGTATTTTTCATCTGCACTCTCATCTTTTTTTCATCACAAATGCGTGACGATCCTCTTCCAGTTGCTGCAACAGTTGCAGTGCCTGAAGCCACTGATGATATTGATGTTAATCCCGCTGATTTGAATTCTCCTATGAAGACGGTGAATGAGGAGATTCAAAATGCGTAATAATTTATTTAATATGCTGAAACTGAAAAATTTAGTCGTCTTCTAATTTTGATAGTCTGCCTTTTAATTATGATTTATACGATTGCTTTATATTTTATTTTTTTTTAATGGCCAATATTAATCGAATCCCTATTTTAAAAGAAAAAAATTTCGATATTTTTCTGCTATTTTTGAGATTTTAGATTATAAACCGAGTATATAAACTTATAAACAGCGATGCTTTAGATTATAAATCTTCCAATAAAAAGAAGAAAAATTATTAAAATATAAATGAAATAAATAAAATAAAATAAATAAAATAAAAGCTCAAACATATAAAGCATCAGTGGTTTTTGTTTCTTCGTTCCATTTCTTTGATCTCATTTAGTAAAAAAACATTGTTTTTGAAGATATACTAAATAGAATTTCAATCATCTATGTTGTATTTTCTTTTTCCAAATATTTAGGTAGTAATTGAAAATTGAATAAAATAGTTGAATAGTATCCAATACGGTTTGTAAAATATTCCCTTTCTTTCATTTGAGGTGCACCAGGTGACAAGTCTGCTTATTTTTCTAAGTGCGAACAGCCGATCTTCTTGGTGCACTACTCTTCTAGCGCTTCGTTTGCATATCTATTGAATATTATCTTCAGCAAAGAATTTAAGTCAACAAAGAATTTAAGGTCGCTTCTTTCTATTCTTATCGAGTCGAACTCGAAATCGGAATTAGAATGTTTCGGCCTTTGTTAAAATTTCTTCTTTTTGTTCGCTATTATTATTATTATTATTATTATTATTATTACTATTATTATCAATCATTATTTATCGCTTCTATTTTTATATATAGTGAACGAATACAATTAGAGATTACCAGTTGCCCATTAAATCCAAATTGCAACAATTCATTATCATTTCAGGTGATCGGAAAACTGCTTTTACTGCCATCCATTTTATTCCCTTTTTCTTCTTTGATAAGATTTCTTTAAATTCCATTTATTAGGTGGTTCAACTATGCTTTAATTATGCGAATACTAAATCAGAAATTTTTTAAGTCAATTAATCATTTGGTGAGAGAAATGCAGGTGAGATTTCCCAGCACCACTTTGATTTTTTTAATTTGCACAATTATGTTTTTTGTTCTTCGCGTAAAAAATTTTAGCTGAATATAAATTCAAAACAAATGGTGCTGTATAAACAAATCGGATACGGGTGCGATTATGTAAGATTTTTAGCATTCTTTTAAAATTTATTCATGAAATTTCTTTCTAATTTAGGGTCTCTTTTGCTTAAGTCTCTTTTTTTTCTCTGTTTTTTTTTCGAAGAAAATTGGAATTGGAATTTACAGAACATATCTAAAGTTGATAGATTAATAGATGGTAAATGGTAAAGATAGGCTTCTCTCCTGGTGATTCAATTTTGGGTTTTAGAAGTTTTCATTAAACATTTTTTTAAAATATTTTTTAATTTAATTAATATGAATATTTTTAAAAAGGCTTTTTATTTATTGCTTTATACAATTCGAGCTTTTATTTTATCAAAGTTTCCGTTTATTGTTCATCAGGTGCTATGTATTATTTGCATTGATAACGAACTTTTTTTCTTTCTTATTTTTTTCTATAAGCTGGCTTTATCTTTTTTGTATTAAATTGTGATACGTTTCCATACTTAATGCCGGTTTCTATTTTTGCAAAAAAATGACATTTTTATTTAATTTTAAATTAATATTTATAATTTTATTGATTTTATTTTATTAAATAAATTTATGCTTGTTTTTTTTCTCATTTTTTTCTTGCAAATATTTGAATATCAAAACAAAGGTAGAAAAAATAGAAAATGAAAGAACAATTAAAATTAAATTAAAATTTTTCAATGTTCTTCTTTAAATAATTAAAATATTGTGGGGAAAAAAAACGAATAGAGGTTTTTCGTATAATTTAGACATTTATACCTATGAAAGTACACTTATGAAAGAGTAAGGTGAAATAGGAATTTCAAAGATTTATTGATCTGGTACCATACCTGAAATTAAATCCACTTCTTTCTCCACCGCCGGCCATAAATAATTGTGAGTATCATTGTTATATATACCACGAACAATTTGTGTGAATTTCAACGTTAATTAGCGAAGATTAAAATATTTAAATCCAGTGAAAGGAATTATATTTTTCTTGAAATAATGGCCGCTGCAAATATTTCTTTTCATAAAACAAATATAAATATTATTATATAAAAATATAAATATTATTAATTAGTAGAGAAAGACTAAAAGACTAAATTATAGTTATAATATACAAAATTTTCGCCTGGTTGACTCCATAAATGGATACGCTAAACCGGATAGTCGTTTCAGGAAAGGAACACACGTGAATCACCACGTCATCACGTACACCTCTCAATTTTAATCAAAGATTTTACTGATTTTACTATATTAATTTAACTAATTTTCTGATGGATTAAAAGTGATAAAAAGTAACGAAAATTTTAAAAAAAAGGAATAAAGACGCGTATATCGAAGACCGAACGTCTCTCAATTCCACGGAGGTTTGCGTCATCAATAAAAAGAGTCGGGAGATTAAAAGGTCTGGGAATGGTACTCATATGAAGGTTCAATAACTTTATTTAATGATTCATCGCATGAATTGATTTATTGGTCTTGTAACGATGGCATGACTACGGTAATTTAATGTTCAAAATAAATTTTCATTATCGTTGACCCACAGGTGTAACGAGGTTAAGTACGGATGGTTGGGGGGGAGGGAATAGGAGGGAGGCTTTGTTCAGTTTATTTGTTTTGTTTTATTTAAATTGGCATAAGCTTGATTTTTATTTGTTAGTATGGCCACTTTGCGCCTAAAAGTACGGATTTACTGATTAAATACAACAATTTAGACAATTTGTTGTTCTCATTTTGCCACATTTTTTGAATGCATTGTAAAATAAATATATGCAAATATTAAAAAAAAATTTTCAAATGATTCAGCTGAAAACAATTCAGATGATTTTCTATTCAGTTGATTTTTGTTTTTTTCCGTTTTTTTATTGTATTTTTTTAAATTTCTAGTTTATTTTTTTAAATTTTTCATATTATTATATATAAAATTATATTTTAAGTTTTTTTACTTTTTATTTATTTTTCTTAAATTTTTCTATTTGAAGTTACTTTCGTGAATTATAATTATTCGCCTTATTAATGCTTTATTGCTGCTAATTTTATTACTGATTATTGATTGTTGATTTTTTCTTATCATTTTTTTTAAATTTATCATTCTCATTTTGCCATAAATTTTAGAATTTCTCATAGTCATTGTCGATAGTTGGTCTTCTTTGATAATTTCATTGTGATAATTTCGAATAATTTTAATTTAATTCTTTTCTTCCTCAATTCTCGTGCTATAATGTTGATTTAATGCCTAATTATTTTGCATAGTAGTACTTGAAATAACAAACGATATTTTTTTCCGCAATATTTTCTATGATTTTGAAAGTTAGTATTTTTTAAGCGAAAAAATTATGCTTATAAAATGGATTTTTTATTGAATCGCGCAACAGAAATGGGCGATAATAAAGAAACTAACCCAATAACTTCAGTGATTATTGTCGCTGATAGGAATAAATGTCCGCAAGGTTTTCTACCGGTTTGTTTTGTTTTTTATTACTTTATTGTACTCTATTAATATCATTTTTTATTAAAGAACATTATTTATTTAGCAATTATCGCCGAATTATCATCAAAATATCATTAAAATAGCAAAAAGAAATTGTCCTTATGAATTTGGATATGAAAATATTTCCATCGAAAAAGTTGATAAATTCAGTTATCCAAATATTTAGATAGATTTCATTTATTTTTCAATTTTATTCGGATATCTCATAGTTTTGTTTCATTAGAAAAAATTTAGAATATTTAAAAAAAATTTTTTTTCGTAAATGATTTAATGAATAAATTAGTTCGATTCTTTGATCAATCATTTTAGTGTTTTTTCAACAAAAAAATTAGAAAAAGATTGCGAAATTTAGAAATAATATTTGTTGATTTTATCTTTTTAAAGTATCTATATCATTCATTTAATCAAAAATAATGATTGAAGCTCGAACAAAAATATTCATGAATAAATATAAAGAATTTTAGAATAAAAAAGAAAAAGAATAAAAATTTACAGATTCACTATAATTTAAAGATGCAAAAACGATTAGTTATAAAAACTATTCTCCAAATTTGTGATTTTTTTTACAGATTTTTTTTTCATTAATTTTGAGTTCAGATAACGAAGACATTTGATGAACAAATTGATGGCGATGTATGGAGAGAAAGTTCGTTTTCATTTTTCAGCCGACCGGTTCGTTATATAGCAGTCAGTCGAGAGACACCACTAAATACTGTGAGCGTTTTTTTTATTGTTTCTTTTCGTTTCCTTTACAGCGTTTAATTTTTTCAAGAAAATGAGGTGCATTTGAAATTATTTTATTGATGTTTTTTTGTGGCTTAGTGAAAAACGGGACATATTGGGGCAAAGTAAACTTTATACTGTTAATATAGGAAGATAGCCAGCCAGATAATTTTAAGGGTATTTATTATTTTTACATTGCCTATGCTATGGAGAGTTTAATTTTTTATTTTACAAGACTTTGTAAGTTATTGGATTTCTAATATTGTTGTAAATTTGGTGATATTTATATATTTGTGTATTGAAACACAGATGTCAAAAATAATGTAGAATATCGAATTAAGTTGTGATCTTTTCAGTTGGCATTATCGAATGAAATCTTATGACGATAATAGTATTTGTAAGACGGAACAAAAAGGTTGTAAGAAGGTAACAAATCGTAGAAAGAAAATGAGTGAAATAGCTTAGAAATTTGTTTTGTTGGTTAAAGGAATAAAAGATTATTTAATGTCATAGTGGAAGCAGTGGATGTTTATTCTTAGCATAATAAGAATTTGTAATTATAGATTGGTGCACATGTTGTAACTGATTTATGTGTTGTGAAGGATTCCGATCCAATTCCGATGGGTTTTATTGCTATTGATTTTACTGCCGATTCAAGTAAAATTTTTACAATTTCTGAAATATTTGTTTCTTCTTGGAAAGATAGCATATGCGTTTTCTAAATCATTTTCAATTTTCAATTCATTTAGTTTGTATTTATATTTTTAACATTACTTTTATTTTAATCTTTTAGTTTATTTTATTTTATTATATTATCTTATTTTAATCCTTTATTTTATTTTAATAAAATAAAGGGCTTTTAATTTTTTTATTTTAATTTGTTATTTTCATATGTTTTAAATCAAAATTATTTTTCAAACATTCATTTTCATATTTTTGTCGATCAATTGCTTTAGAAGAAAAAGCCCTTCGTAAAAAATATCTTTGTGTTCGATCTGTTGCACGGGATACTGTGCTTGATGCTGTTGGCGAAATAATTTTGCTCAGTAAACAAAAAAAGCCACCTAGGAACTACTCATCAGCTGGGTGTGTTAAGTTTTCCATTAATTTTTTTGAAATATTTTTCAAATTTATTATTTGGCCGATATTTTGATGTATTTTTTTTAATAATAGAATTAAATGTTAAAAGTTTTTGACATAAAAATTTTCAGTGAAATTGATGGAATTTTGGTATGTTTCAAATACGTTGTAATTCCAGCTTCTTTTGGTATCGGTTTACCTCGAAGTCAATCGTTAGTTATCTTTTCTTTCGTATTTTTTTTTCACCCTTACTTTTGTCTTTCTTATTTCAATAAAATATACTAATATTATTTCAGTACAATTGCTGGAATATATCCAAATGTTGCCGAAAATTTTCGGCGTTCTGCACCATCGCTCGATCAAATAACCGGTAATCTTAATTCCATGAATGCACTTACAATTAAAACTGGTACTCAGAAGCGAGGAATTGAAGATGTTCCTTTTAAATTAAATCCCATTTTGGAAAAGTCGATGCTTCGAAATCAGGTTGGTCTCATTTCTCCAAATTTCAGAATATCAATTTAACTAAATCTTTTTAAGTGGGTGATGCGATGGTTAGGATTTCGAATTTTTTCATATTTTACGTATTCAGATAGATAGATTCCAGTTTTTTACGTTAAGATCTTTCAGTTAAACGTATTACCAGAACTTAAAGTCTTGGATGAAGCAACATTGGAACGTGAATACGGTTATCGTTTCACCGTTGAACGTGCAACACTTTCGCATTCTTAATCGCTATTGGCAAATTTTCCACAATGGTTAATTGTGGGTTGACTGTATTTTATCTTTTTTTTCATATCGTTTTTTTTTACAAATTGGCACAAAACTGTAAATTATAAATAAGTTTATATTATTTATCGCACATCTTTCCTTCGTGGAATGGAACGATGTTATCCTTTTTTTTCTTTTTTTAAATGTTTGAATATTTACTGCTATCATTGAAGCTCGCAACGTTTCATTAACATTTCATTTTTTCAAGCCCTTTAGTTCTCAATTATATTGTTCCTGAATTTACACCTTTTTTTTGACGCTTAAATATGTCTGATCTTTTTTTCCGTTCTTTTGTTACTTAATTATGAAAGGGCCATTGTTTGCGAGTATTTTCTTGAGAGATTTCGAAAATTTGTCATATACTGTTTTATCATTAGGGGATTGAAATTCCTAAAATGATTTTTTTAAAATGATTATTTTATTATTTAGGTTTTTTGAATTTTCGTTTGATTATATGGCTTTATTTTTTTCTGTTTGTCAATTGAACTCATGCAGTTTTTTATGCTCCATGACTTACTATTATATAAGAACTAAGAAGTTATATTTTTTAGTGGACAAGCACTAAATTTTAAGAGATTAAGAAATTATTTTTACTCCATTTTGTTATAAATATCTATTTTGAGTATTACTTAATGATGAGAACTATATTAAATTATGACTTATGATTTCCGCTTAATAACAAATTCTACCAGAAATGGTGAATTTGCCGAATTATAATGCTCCTAATTCTTTTTTCCAAAATTTTAATTTTTTTTAAATATAAAAAATTTACCTAAGAAAAAATTTTATCTGATTAATGAGTCAAAGTGGAGAGTAAAAATTAAGGTGCCTAGTTAGCTGCAAATATCATATTTACGAAATAGCAAGAACTTCTAAACTTTTCGTTATAATTTACTGAAAATAAAAATATTCGTCCTATAAACTGTGAAAAAAATATATGAAAATATATTTTTAAGCCGATATTTTTCACTATATAATATTTCAAAATTTAAATGCGAAGAGAAAATAAATAAAATAATCTTTTATTACTGAATGATATAAATCAAAAAACCAAATTTCTACCAAATTTCGGCAGTGGAAATGCAACAACAGAATTAATTGCGATCTCCTTAAGTTAAACAATAGCAAACTGGGCATAAACGATATCACGAATTTTATAATAATCTTCTGAAATACATCCTTCAATGTGAAATCGACCTGCTTCATTTCTTCGTATACTCGCAATATTATTGATATAAAGTACACCTCCATTGAATTCAGCGTGGAATCCATTAGCCATAAGTAATTGCTTCATATCGGATAATTTAGGATCATTAACAAAAACGGCCTAAATAAAATTTTTTCCATTGCGATGGTGAAACAAAAAATTAAGCTATTAGGTAAAAATTTATTTTGTTTAATTTATTTATTGAAAATTTATTTGACTAAATAGTCTAAAGTGCTGTTGCTTGAAATTATTTTGAGAAGAATTTTAAAGAAGTTGGTTGAATTACCGATATGCCACCAGATGGCTCAAAAATTATCTCAGTATTCTGAACACTCTGGTAGTTAGTGAAGCCAGTAAAACTAGAAATGGAATATTTCGTTTTTAATTCACCGACTTCACTTTTCATGACAATCATTTCTATTCAGAGATATGGGCCAAACCCGTAATGTTTGATGCAACTAGATCGCCCTCATAAGAGTGTTTTTGAAAGGACAATAAAGATTGGTTGAATCGTATTTTATTATTCTCGATAATTCTAAAAAATTTTCAAGAGATGTTTATTTACCTGATGGGGAGGAATATTACTGCTAATAATTGGTTCTAAACAATACGTTTCAGAATCGACTTTGATACTACATAATCTTTTATTAACTTCACTGTCGGCATTTTCCATTTCAACATCATCAGTAACATTCTCTTTTTCATTTTCAAATTCATTCTGAGCCTCCGTAATTACTTTCCGGAGAAGTATTCTCGAATCAAGCCAACTCAATTCAGCATCTTTCACCTGAAATAAATGGGAATATCACAATATCAACATGCTTTTATCAAAATGATATTTATCTACAATTTGAGAAAAAATACATTGAGCAATCGAAGAACTTTATAAATAGAAAAATAAAAAACAATACCGACTGAAATATTAATGAAGACATTAACGAGTCACTTAATGTAACTTGATAAATATGTGATTCTATTGTAGCATCCACAACTTCTCCCAGTCTTGGAGTGAAAATTTTACCCTAAAATAAATAAAATCATTGAAATCATTTGCCGCAAGGTGAATTGAACTTTGAATCATAGTTAAATTACAAATAAATTCCAATTGTTCTAACAATGTCACCTGAACAACGTCGTTTTGCATTGCAAATTGCGCTAAATGTCTTGTCGAAGCAGGAGATCCATGAACAATTATAAGCTGTTTGGGTTTAATTTGTGTGAGAATTTTTTTCAAAGATTCTCCATCAGAACGCCCTTCGAAATCGATAAATTCCACTTTACATAACACCTAAAAATTTTCTGAAAAAAAATGCAGCGATATAAAAGTTCTTTTTGTACTATTTAATTTATGAAATTAAATTCACCTCCAATTTTATAATTTGGCTAATACATTTAGTAGGCCATTCCTTCTCTTCAGGAAGTAGTAATACTTGACTTTTCCCACCGTTTACAGATGTATCGAGTGATCTATCAGTGACTTGCGATATATTAGATAAATCATTTATTATATATTCCTCAGGCCTGATTATTTCGCCATAATCATCCCACTAAAATTTATTTATTAAACAGATAAAGTTGTATGATAAAATAAGAACCATAAGATCATAGTGAAAGTGTTAGATGATGCAAAAAAAAACTTCTCTTACTTCCAGATATGGCAATGGATCGAGAGGCATGAGGGAATTCCTAATGCTGCTTAAAATATTTGGAGAACCAGTGAATAATTGTAATTTTAATCTGATTTTTTTGGCTTTTAGCAAATATTCTTAGAAATCTATTGATGGCTATCAATTATAAAAATTGACAAGTATCGTTCAAAATAAGCATGTTCAGAAAAAAAATACTTGTATACCCTTGTTTTCTCCTCAATATATTGAAACATAGGAAAAGATTTTTTGCTTTGTTTGAAAAACGATGACTTCTGCTGTTGTTCCCATCTCCACATAATATCATGCGAACGCTGTTCTGCGATTTGTGCTGCACTTAGTTTATTCACTAAAAATTCTGATTTTCTTCCATATATATCAAATAATTCCCTTAATCAAATTTTTTGACAAATATTGGCATCAAAGATAATTAGGGCAATTTTTCTTCTTGGAGAGTAACTTGAGGATAGAGAATAAAGTGTATTCCCAGTAACCGCCATATTTCCTCTGAAACCCATGCTACTTGTCTTGCACCCCGCAAGAACAAAATGAATTTTGATATGATCACTAAAAGCAATAAGCAATTCTCGAAAAAAATTTTATATTTAACAATCAAATATTATACTATTTGAGCCTGATGTAAGAATATTAATTGGATTCGATTGTTGAAATGATATTGCTCCTTTTTTGTCAAGTGAATATTTTTCACCAAGTGCTGCCGCATTTGCTGCAGCAGCAAAAATAGCTTCATCGTCACTATCGTCAGAAGATTCTGCTTGCTCAAGACGTGCATTCCGACGAGATGTCTCTAGTCTAGAAAAAAATTTTAAATTTTCTCTTCTAACAATATGAGACCAAATTAATTAATAAGATTAATTAATAAATTAATTAATTAATAAGAAGATTAAAATTACTTAATTAAAATTAGAATTATTACCTGATGCGAGTCGCTTCACGTTCCTCGGCACGTTTTGTAGCGCGATAATTTTCTAGTTCGATACCATCCAAGCGAATACGACGTTTTACTTCCAACGTTAAGTGACGATTAACCTGTGCAGGATTTTCTGTGATTTGTTCAGCCATTCGAATTAATTTTGCTCCCAAAGTTCGATCTCCAGATCGGCCTTGATTGAAAATTAATGCGTTTCATCTTCACAAAGAATAAATCTATCCAAAGTAAATGTAATGTTTGATACTAATTTCTGAACAATAAGTTTAATTTTTCTACTTCAATTATCTGAAATATTTTTGCACAGAATCAAAAGTGATGGAAGCATTTGCACAGAATCAATAAGATAAAGATTTAAGAATATTTTCCACCTGTGACAATTACTGTATTTTTTGGATCTGAACACCATTCTAAAAATAATTCGCGAGAGAATCCGCTTTCCATATCAAGACCACTAACCAAAACCACCTGCAAAAAATATTCAGCAATCAAATAATATACCATGCGAAAATATTAAAATACTTCTAAAAATTATAACTGCGTAAAATATATGAACAAACATTTAAAATATTTTAAAATGAAATTTAATTTAAATAAATAAAATTTAAAAAAATTTAAAATAAAATATTTTAAATTCAAGCTAAATTAGTACTTTTATTTAATTTACTACCTTTGGACTCCGGACTCGTATGAGGTCAGTATGAGTATGACATAGTTGAACATGACGAAACTGAAATGGATTGTAGCGACCCGTCTCAAACGATTTTAAAATTTTATCTGACATCCACTCAACTTGTGATTTAGCAAATTCTACAACAGATGATGCAACATGATTTAACATCACTAAATTATAGGTGATGAGACCAGCTTCTGCGCTAAAACAATATAATTAAAAGCGAAAGAAAATATATATTTGTGCTAAATCTTCGCAATAACTAAGGAATAACTGAACACATGGAGTAAATATAATTAGATAAATGCTTACTTATGCCATAATTGATCAAGCAAATGCGCAATTTCTAAAACTCTTCCAGCTGTATCAATAACAATCATAACATCACCACCATCTCGTATCGTACTCAAAAGCTTTGTCACCAATTGTTCATCTCTTTGCTTTCGACGAGGCTGATTATACATAGCATTAAATGCATCAGTTATCATCAAATTAGGCCTTCCTATACCTATAAATATCATTAAATTATTAATTGATTGCAAAACTGAGAAAACCTTTAAATGACAAACCTTCAAAAGTACATCCGTTGAGATGACGCTCTTTCTTATGATTAAAGTCTACCGCATAAATAATTTCTTCATCACCCATTTTTGTAATACGCCATATTGCACCACCTATCATATGACCAGCTGGGAGAGGAGTAATTTGTAAGCCATTATCACCTTTCAACAAGACCTTCAAATTTAAAGGTTGTTATGAAAATTGTGAAAATATTAGTGAAAAAATTTAAAACCCTCTTAAAAAAATTTAATTAAATTTTTAATTGAAAATTTATTATTAAGCAATAAACCCATTTAGTTTAACCCATTTAGTTCAAATCTGTTTAAAAAAAAACAGAAAATAAATTTAAAAAATTGTCAAATTATCACCGTCTGACTATATTTCACTTGTTGGACTCGTTCAAACGAAGAATCAATATCATCTAAATTAAAAAAATTAAAATCTTCGACACTTGTATGACCATTCACCCAATCATATAAAAACATTTGACCCATTTTGTATACTGGGACCTAAAAATAACAAAACATTTCCTTTAAAAATTTGATGTTGAATAAATAAATTATATACTAATTTTGGAGGAAAATCAAAGCAATTCTAACCAGAGCGAAGAAAATGAGGCTTTTTTAAAAATTCAGTTTACTAAAATATCAAAAATAATTAGGATATTTAAATGATAATGATGAAAATGATGAATACCGTTGCATATATTGGACAATTAAGGCCACATTTTCGTACTAAGTAAGGTAAAGCTCCTAAATGTGGTATATCAGCGTATGATAAAAGAACAGCATTGATCAGCGGTACTCGACGTTTCACAGCTTCTATATAGGCCAAATCGAAACGTTCATCCCAACCACAATCAAGTAAGAAGTAAACTTGATCAACCTTAATTAGAATAGAGAATCTTTATTAAAGCATTATTCCGAAAATGATAAATGATTAAAATATTTTTAAAAAATTTGAAATAGTTCTGGATGTTCGTTGTAAATTGACGGGACGGGAAATGCCGTTCCAACATGAAATTTATCACTATCAAGCAATATTATATTATCAATTACTATCAAATAATTAAATTTATGATTAAATAATTTATAAAGTTTAGAAGGTTAGATCGATGACTCTTTAGGCCAAAAACATAAACATTCTTGTATCCTCGTCCCTCGTCGAATTTGTATGTTATTTGTTTCGGAAAAAAGAAAGAAAAAAGACTAACCTGTAGAAGATAACAAAGTGGCCCGTCATCTTGAACTCCTGATAAAGCTTCCAATTTTATAATTGATGTCATGCCAGCCAAATATTAATAATTTAAATATTATTTGCAACAATTTTAAATGCTAATTCAAAAAGTAAAGAATTTCATCTGAAACACATTAAATGTATTTAATAATGCTAACCAGAATAGTACTCGTTTTCTTTCTCTAAGAATGCACACCATTTTCAATCAAGTTCGTGCACCACACAAAGGGTCCAAAGATTCATCTGGCAATGGAACAGCAAAGGCAATTCGTCGATATCACCCGACATGATTTTTGAGAGACAAGTTTACTCTTGCTGGGAGCAGAACAATATCTTTTGCGCTTCGAAATGAGAGCAACAACCCACTAAGCGATTCGCGCGTTTCAGCGTTTCCTTTGCACGATTCAATTTAAAATAATTCTTCCGTTGAAGTGTCGGAGAAAACAAAAAAGGCGATATCACACAAGAATTTCTTATCAAATTATAATCAGAAATTCCACAATAAAAGAAAAAGAAAATGAACAAAATTAAATAGAAGAAAAACAAAAATTTTCAAAAATAAATCCTAAAAAAAATCATCATTAAATGATTTAATATATTAAATAAAATGACCAATTTTATAATAAAATTGGATAAAAAATTAAATTATCTTAAAAAAATGTTAAATTCGAAATAAAAATTTCTTATATTTTTGAAAATAATTATAAAAAATATAAAATAAAAAGTAACTGAAATTATTTCGATTAATTTCGATATATTCCAATTTTTTACGATTTATTTGAAATTTATTTAAATATTTAAATAATTTATTTAAATAAATTTTTTGTTTTTTATTAATTTTATATATTTATTTGTGCAATATATATATAGCCATATTATTTTTGAAATTATAATTCCCATAACAATAATAGTAATAGGAGAACGGTTATCGCTAAGGCAGATCGCATGAGAAGAACAATTTTCAGTAGTTAATGCTACGAATGAAGAATTTACGACTTTTCAAACATCATTTTCTAAAAATTATTTTTATTTATTTTTTTACTATATATTAAATTATTATTATAATATTGTTTTTATTGTATTTTTTTTATTTACTCAATTTATTTCTAATTTTTACATCTATTTTTTTATTATACTTATTATATTTAATAAAAATATATTTATATTTATTTTTTATTTGCAAATATATTTAATTATCTCCAATTTTATTCCAAAAAAATTAGTTAAATGTGACTATTTTATGCATTTAAATAAATTTCGCGTGAAAAGTTCCGTCAACAAAATTAAAAAATATGAAAAACAAAAAACAAAAAGTAAACGAAAGTAAATCGAATTCACACAAGCTGCACCGTTAAGTAGTATTTTTTAATAGACAGTCAAATGCAGTCGCCGAGAAATTATTAAAGAAAAAGAGTTTTAGAGAACAAGAATGTTTTTATAATTCACAACAATATTTAATCCGTTGATGTTCTATGTTCGTTTGCCGAATGTGGTTGGCTTCCATCGATTTTTTGTCAAATTTTTTTCGTAACAAGTGGAATGTGGTTGGTACTTGTTTAATAGGTGTACTGGGTGGGGCTTAGGGAACCTCCTTTCGAAGAAATTCGTACAGTAAGATTCTTGTAATAGAAGATAGAAGGAGGAATTAGGCTGCTGTTTAGGAGAATTTTTTCCCATCTTTTGAAAAAATTTTCTAAAATCTATAAATATTTTTGGTACTATTTTAGTGTTATTTTAATAAATTGATTAAAATAAGGTCAAAGGTCAAATTTTGAGGTTGAACGATAGCTGAATATTTTATTTTATTTCGAAAATATTTCTTGGGATATCACTTTTATAGGTCAAATCCGATGTTATATTAATTCTGAAATTTTTTTTTCTAAATGCGAAGTAAAAATTTCGTTTTGCGAAATTTCTGCGAATATCGTCGTCGAATAGCTGACTTATTGTGGTTATATTTTGTTTCCACCTCGATTGGCCAATCTTTTTCTAATTTTTTTATTTTGCAGAGTTTTAGTGAATTTACGCTGAAATTAGTTAAATCAATAAATCATTAGTATGTCAACTGCTGAAAGTTGGTTTATTTTTCTTTTATTTTTATTTTTTACTCAATTTTTAGGTGCCTATTCTTAGTGATTTCGCGTAAAAAATTCGCGTGAAGGTATCCGCGTAAACATTCTTACTTTCCGTTTTAGTTTATATTAGCTTATTTGCCATAAATTAGTTGAACTTTTTGTAAATTAAAGATTTTTCAAGTAAAGATTTTTTTTAAATGATTTAAAACTATAATTATGGTGAATCATGGTGGAGAACTTATTTCGATCTTAATTTTTAGTTGTTTTTAAATTTTGCTTTGACTTTTTTTTGAACGAAAGAAATTTCTTATCTTTTAATCATTTTTGTAAAATTGTGAAATTTTCTATATTCTTTGAAAAAAATTTGAACATTCCAGTATTGATTATTTGAGACGTTTTTATGATTAAAAAAAACGGGAAATTTATGTTTTAAAAGCCTTTTTTAAATTTTTATAGACCAAGAAATAGTTTAACCGTATTAGATATGTAAACAGCCAAAAATATTAAACGCTAGTGGTGTTTATCATTTAAACCGATATTTAGAACGTAGAGCAATCAGCTGATGTTTTTTGGCCATATTTTTTTTTGAAATTTTTTTTGTAAACTTATGATGAATTGATGAATTAAGTCGTGTGAAATCGTCTAGACTCGTGCGATTTCTAATAGGAAAATTGGCAAATATAATTGAGACAAATTATTTTGAATTATATCTTTTATTGGCATATTTTCCTAATAAATTTTATATAGCTTATATATTCTTGTGAAAGAATAATTGTAGAAATTTGTGAATATTGTAGAAAACAGCTGTTACTATTTTAGGCTTAAGCCCATAATTCTCTCATTTTTCAATAATTTCCTCAATATATATTTTTTTATTTCTGTTGATCAAGCTGATGTTTGTTTAATCAGTTTAGCCGATCGTTAGCTTCATGTAGAAATCGTATTCGAATGAAATGTTATTTTTGTCTTTTTTTATTTTCAAATTAGATTCAACAAATTGTTCAACAAAGTTTTTTCATCAAAAAATCTTTTTTTTACAAATAAGTGGTTGTAGGTGTATGGATGAATCAGTCATTACATTTGTGAATATGATGATTTCCATTTGTGATTGTGTAGTGATAATTTTCTAATTCAGCAGTGATCGAAATTTTGATCCGAAATATGAACCGTACAATTATGTTTGTTCTTATTATAACTCAGTTAAGATCTAAATTTTAATATGAAATTATTCAGAATTAAACAGATTTGTCATCCAGATATTCAGATTATCCAGATATCCAGATTTTGTTCCGATTATAAAAATAATATTATGGAATGATGCGGAAGGCTCACGCCAGCTCTCAGCGATCCTTTATTTCAAGCGATGAGCGATTTCACTTTAGTATTTATTAGAGCCAGATGAGCCAAATGTTTCTTGTCAGAAGTGGAAAAGAGTCGTATAATGCTCTAAATTTATAGATGTAACTCAGTTATGATCTAGATTTTGATCTGAAATGCAAGTCATATGAGAGAATAAACGATTAAACAAATAGTATTATTGCTTGTTGACATAAAATAATCGCGCATTCGTCAGTCGTCGTCAATCTCGTATCGATTCATTTATTTTCCACGTATCAAAAATTTTTGTGTTTGCGAATTTTGTCTTTCTTGTTCTTTTCTCTTAATGAGCTATTAATTTATTATTTAATTAATAATTCTTAACCTTTTTGTTTATTTCGTTTATTTATATTTCTTTAAAATTTTTTGACCTTTTCAAAGTTTCTATTTATTTTTTAAATTTAACTTAAAATTCAAATTTCTGATTGTATTTGCAATAACTATGCTAATTTAGTATTTAATAATAAAAGAAATAGTGTTCCTTGAAGAAAACATTGTAGTATCGAATTTCTATACCCATTTGAGAACCTTTATTAATGGTGAAAATGATAAGAAGGGTCGGTGATAAGAATATGTTTGCCATTATATTGAAGGCAATATCAAAAAGTCATCATTGTTTCTTTCTTTGAAGAAAATGTTTAAATTCTATGGTTTAAATTAAACTTTTTAGTAAATAGTACTTAAATTAAATTAAATTTTTCTATTTTAACAAAATTTTTGGTTCAAAATTATTAGAAATTAGAAAAAAAATTGGATTAAAAAAAATTGGAAAAAAGGGTTATGGTACTTTTTTTATTGTGGTATCCATTTCTCTTCTGACAGTATGCATCATTTTGGTACTATTTATCTTGCAGTTCCACAATTTTTTGATATTTTTTTGGCGTAGCTTGAATTGTTTTGTTGTATAAGTTAATTTCTTTTCAAAATTCTTTCAGTGCAGCTAAATTACTGTTGAAGTGAAAAATGCCACCGAAAAGACCACCAGCACCACAGAAAGATAAGCCTTTAATTAGTGCGACAAATTCTGATAATACCGCACTTCCTTCAGCAACAGCCGCATCATTGTTTATTAAGAATGATGCTGAGTTAAAAGTGGCTATGGAAAAATTTGCTGCTGAATTGAATAAAGATTCGGATGAGGAAGATCCAGAAATTTTTAATAGTAAAACTGGTTGGTTTTCTCTTCGGTGATGCGTTGACGGTTATATTGCAGTTGTGCTAGCTTTTTCTAAACATCGGCTATTTTATTTTTTAATTTTTAAGAAAAGAATGAATCGGTTTATTTTTAATTCTGTTTTATTCTATTAATAAATTTGCATAAATGGTCGAATAATCCATTAGTGCGATTTTTTTTAGGTCCGGACGAAAGCACAAAAATGAATGATATAAATGGATTGAGTGAAGCTGAAAAGGAATTGTTACGTGAAGAACTTAAAAAGGTTTTTTGAAAAAAGTCTTTTAGATAAAAAGTTTTATTTGGCAATTAATTTCATTATTTCTTATTAAAAATGGCATCAGAGGCTTCGAATATAATGCCATTTTCCGAAAAATATAGTAATGATTTTGATATTATTATTTAACATTTGGCTTAAAAATAAGTTTAATCGACAAAATTTTTTCTATACAGAGTGATTATTACCGAAACGATCTTTTTATTCTAAATATTATTATTTCTTTTCTTTTTTAACGATTTCGAATTTAGAATTATATAGAATAGATAAAAAATTATCCGTAAAACTTTGAGATGACTAATTTGTACTTTTCTTTATAGACGGAGGATGAAATAAGCACGCTTCGTCAGGTTTTAATTGCCCGACAAAAGCATGCCGCAGAGATTCGAAGAAAATTGGGAATATCGCCATTAACCGAGTTGACTGCTGATATAAATCATTCATTACAACAAGTTAAGGAAACTCAAGCGTATGTTCTGACTATACAGTTTCCTTTCTTCCATGAAATTTTTTTTTCGAAAAATTTATAATCTGACAACACTTGGTAATTAATAATTGTCTCTGCTATTATTTATTTTAATTTAATGTTTTTTGCTCGATTGGGCATTAGCTTTTTTTTTGCTAAAGTTTCCTCAAAAAATGTACATTTCAGATATCAAAAAACGTCAGAAGTAGTCGCTGGGACAGCTGATACAGTGAAAAATAAGTGGAACGATATGCGAAATTCATCATTTTTCAAATCATTCGAATCGAAATTGGGTTCTGCATATAATAATGTTGGATATTTAAAATTTGTTTTATTTATTCAATTAATTTTTATATTGAACAATGAAAGGACGATAAATATATGTTAAGCGAATTTATTTATCGTAAATTAAACATAGTCATTATAGGCTAAAATTGTTGCTTCAACAAGCATTGATCATCTCGCTGGGCACGCAAAACCATCGAAAAATAGTTCACCCACAGACGCAGATAAGTCACCTCTCGCTTAAGATGTTATCGAGCGAAAGTCCATAAGTTATTTTTTTTCTAGCTTCTTTTTTCTCTTTGGTTTTTTGTTCTTTATTTTTTTCAAAAAGAAACAATTTTTCATCTTCGAAAAAAGTAATTTTCTTTTAATCTTAAAATTTTGAAATTTGTTTTCAAGATTTATAACTTTAAAATTTATCAAAAATTTATCTAAAGTGCTGTTGAAAGTTCGATAAAGAGGAATTCATCAATCTTTTTTAATCCTTTTTCTTAATTTAAGGTTTATTTCTCAGTTCCTATCAAGTGAAAGAATTCATATATAAATGGAATTGTTTTGCTTATTATAAATTTAAAGTTTTTTTGGTATAATTGTATATTAAAATACGATTTCCAACCGATTCATTGGTTTGTTTTTTAATTTTCTTTATTATATTTTTTCATTTATACTATCTATTCGATTCATTTTTATTATTATCGTCTTTAATGAAGCATATTTTATTTTATTTTATAATGGTTTTATTCTTTTAATGATTCGGGTTCGAATTGTTAATTATTCATTGATTTGCTTAACTTCCATCCATCATTTCATGCTTCATTTTCATTTTTTGCCTTTTCCTTTTCATTGATAATATTTTCTTTCTTTTTATTACATTGATATATTTCGAAATGGTGTTCCTGTTTTTCTGTATGATTTATTGCGATTTTATATGCAGAATTATTCCCTAAGGCATGCTAAAATCGATCTTTCTCGATTGTTTATTTGTTAAATTTGTAAAAATATTTCTTTTTATGATCGTAAATTTTTTTAAATAAATATTTTTCTTATTTCTCTTTTTTCATTGCAGTGATTTTTTATTAGATAATAATAATAAACTATGGAAAAATTGAGAGGTTTTCTTTTCTTGCAAATCTTTTAAAATTTAGCAAAAAAGCAAACATTTTTATTGAGTAGTTGGATTAAAAACTAAGAAATAATGTTTTCTTTAGTGCTTTGATCGTTACCGCTTTTAATGGTTCTTAAGATTTTTCGTTTTCCACTTGTATTTTTATTTTTTTAGCCTAAAATTTTTTTCTTTTTTTTTATTAATTTTCGCTTAAAATTGGCTTTAAGAGCGAAGAGATGTTTATTGAGATTTGTTATAAGATGGAACTAGGAAAATGATTTTCAGAATGGTTTTCCAAAATTGAATTTGTCGAAAATGAAAATTTAAGAGAAATCGAGCCAATCAAATTCAATTTATTTCATTATAAATTTAATTAAATAAGCGATATGAGTCGCATTCTTCGTTGAATTTCGAGTCTAAATAGAATAAATTTCGAGAAGAAAAAACAAATTGGTTTCATTATTTGTGCTACAATTCTTTTGGCTTTTTATCGACCAAAATAGCCAAAGGCTATTTTTAAAAATAATTCAGAAGAAATTAAAAGTTCACAACAATAGAATGACATTAGTATATATAATTCGTTAAGAAAAATGATAAAACAGAGGAAAAAAAAATGAGTGAATTTGGGAAGAATCGAGTCGGTCATCTCGATCAATTCGAATTCATTGCGTTCATTTCTACTTTTGATGGATAATTACAACATTTGCTATCATTTTTGATTGTTGTTTATATGTAGGATTTTTATCTCTCTTAACAGATTATCAGAAGATCACAATTATCATCGTTTCGTCAGTTGGTCAGAGTTTTTTTCTTTTCTTTTTTATGTGCAGTTAGAACTAGTATGACTTACTTGTTTAATTAATGTTCGTTGAAATGTTTAGTTGTTGGTTGATCGGTCGGTTGGTTGGTTGATTTGCTTGTTGAATATCGTTAAAGACACCAATTCGAATTTTTATTTTAATGTTCTTCAATTTGTTTTGATAGAAAAAAAATTCCTTAATGATTCATCAATTAATTCATTTCCTTTGAACTTTATGATATGATAACTTTATCAGTTTGCTTTTATGAATTCGATTTTCATTTTTAATTTTTTTAACACTAAAATATTTATCACTAAAGGTGATTTTAAATGGTTTGACAGTTAATTAAAAATAAATAAATATATAAAACATTTCATTAAAAGATAATTGAATGAAGATTTTCGATCATTTGAATTTGATTTTGATAAATAATCGGTCAGCTTTATAAGCTAAAGAAGAGGCGTCAATAATGAAAGTAGTAACAATCGTTGGTTTCCATTTTCATGAAAAGAAAGCATCCAATTAGGCGAAACAGATGAAGATCTACGCTTAATGAGATTATCATGATGATGAATTTCGGGGAAAAAGAAAAGAAAGCTTGAGCAAAATTAAAGAAAGGGACTATATAATAACGGTGAAGTGGTACTCTACTATCTTTAGCTTTCTAGGTTAGCGAGGTCTATTAACCAATAAATAGAGCAAGAACGTTTCGACACAGAGTCATCATATTATAACTAATTCTTATATTCGAGCTTTTTCTTCACATATCGTGGAACCAATCGATTCCTAAAGAATTTATTGAAAGAAATGGTACAAGTCAGAGGATAGTAAACTAATAGGTCAATCTTAGGTCAAAGGTTAAAAGAAGGAATTTCTGGAACTAATCGTTATTCAGTAAAACTTTTAATGGCCAAGAAAGCGGAGATATATGATTATTATTATTACTATTATTATGGCTAATGAAGTAATTTAACGAGCTTTCAAATTTTCAAAATCTATTAAAAACTAAAAAATTGTCTACGAAAAAAAATAATAATCCGGAAAATGCGACAATTTTTAAAAATTCAATTATCTATTCCATCTATTCTAATTTAGATTTATTTCAAATTCAATCATTCTATTTTGTCTTCAATAATTTTTAAAAAATTTTTCCACATTTTTACTAATTTTTTAAAAGCGCCAATACTAAAGTAAATTCTCACTATTGTCTTTTAACTAAATTCAGTTGTTATATAATATTTCATTTCATTTAAATCGCATCTGTTCGAGTGATTTCGCATAGTTTTTTTTACGACGACGACGAACAATTTTATTGTTTAGCCTTGTTTGCCGTTAAAATAATTTCTCATAATTTTTATTTTTTCCTAAAAATTGAAATTTTTATAATTAAATTTCGCATAATCGAAATTTGCTATTATTAGTTTGGTTTGCTTGAATGTCTGCATTCGCTTGAATGTGCTTGAATTTTCAGTAGAGGAGAATCAATTATGGATAGAAGTGCAGATGAATTTGTCATGGAAAGGAGTGCAAGTGAATCTATCGTAGATAAAAGTGCAGGTGAATCTGCCGTAGATAAAAGTGCAGCTAAATGTGCAGCAACATCGAATATTGCCAAATTTAATCAGTGAACTTTTCGATTTTAGTTTTATTTATGAGAGAAGTTCTTTATGAAAATTTTAATAATTTTCGACGATAATAAGTTGTTTTGATTTCCAATATTCTTTACAATAACTGCCAGTTTTCTTTAAATCTTTCTTTAAGTGATGCGAAATTTTATAAGCTTATTGGATAAACAATTTGGATTTTTAGTTTGGAATTTTTCACTTCTCTAAAGAAATTTTCATTCAAATATTGATAATTCGCTTGTTGATTAAAAATTTAGTCATATAATATATTCAAAAATTGTCAAATTTGTACGATGACATTCGTAAATCATGAAAGAAATTTCAAAAAATTTTGCTTGAGGCGAATGATAATCAATAAACTTTTGGGAGATTGGTTTAATGATTGGTTTCTGACCGATGAAGGATTTGCTATCGTTTTAAGTGCAACAAGTTAAATCTTCAGACATTATCACTGAATCATTAATCTAAAATATTTATAAAAATTTCTTTATCAGAGAGATATAATTTTAAGATAAGTGTTTTAATGGAATTTTCATTATTTTGAAAGTTTAGGGAAGTTGAAAATTTACAACAAATACAAATTGCTTCTCTCCATTCAATATTAATTAATATTTGATAAGCCTCTGAGGTGACAAACTCTCTTCCCTATTCTATCGGCACGGGCAAAATATGAAAAAAATCCGGTGCATATTTCCTCTTCATGTATCTCCATATAATTCCGCAGCCGAAGTTTCTCATCCTAGTAAACGGTGATGCAAACCTAATCAAATATGGCATTATTTATTTATTGTATGTGAAAGATAAAGATAAAATCATAAATATACTTAATAAATGCGTAACTTTATGCGTAAATGCGTAATTTTTAATAATTTTCTGTTATTATTATTTATTCTAATTATTTTTATAGATTGAGGAGATTTAATAATTACACTTCTTGAAATTATTTTCCGGTTGATTTGTTATTGTTGTCGGAAATCCCACGAGCTTCATTGTTAATTCGCCATACAAAAAGCGAAAGATTTCATAGATTTCATAAATTTTTTGTTAATATTTAGGGGAACGATGCACACTATAAAAATTTCCATAGTCCTAGTCCGATTCCTATTTCTTGACGAGGAATAAAGGTTGAAAGTTGGACGATATTGTGGAACCATCACTCACCTAAGTGATCGCATATTTTATTCACCGCAACAAGTGCTATCAACTCGAAGTCTAATTCTGACTATATTTTTATTGGTGGAAACATAATATCTCTGACATTTAATCGAAACGAATTCATCTTATGATGTTTATTATAGTGATTACTTTATAGTTTGTACTTATATCTCAAAGGAATTTCGAAAATTATAGATTTATATGATTGCAAGAAGGAGGAAGTGAAGAGGAGTAAAGATTTAAGGCCAAGAACCTAACAATTAGTAAATCGAATCTCGGCTGATTTGCTTGATGGCAAAAATGCCATTATTCGCCAGCGAACGAAAGAAGTAACGCTGGCCAACCAACTAACGAGTCACTCAATCGGCCACTCCCTTAGGCTATGATTATCTTTCATTATTTCAGTTATCTTTTTGTTAAAAATCATACTGGCTATCATCAATCATTTCTTCTAAAACTTGTTTTTTTTTTTCTTTTCAAAATATACAGAATTTTTTTATAAAGTTTATATGAACTAAGCGAATGATTAAATCATTCTGCCAATCACATCAATTTCATGTACTTATCATTTATCATTTCATGTACTTATCACTTTCTTGTTTATCGCTTAATATCTATATCTATATTTTATCACTCGCGAGTATTATCATTCAACATTTAGCTACAGCATCTTATCATTCAACATCTATATCCAGTGTTTTCATCTTCTTTTTCTAACAGCCACAATTGTTTGCTAAATTTGTTTTCCTAATTTATATGGCTATAATGAAGCCATTTCGTTATGGTCCAGAGGTCCAATAGTTATAGCAGCTGAGATCATTTAAGACTTATACGCTATCCGATAATCATATCATATCTACATTTATATCCACTCACTTGATTCCAATTTGTTATTATTCAATGTTCATATCCGTTGCTTAAAAAATGGATTCTGCAAGGTTCATTTGGTCGCAGACGACTGAAATGCTAAATATTTTATTAAAGCTTGATTGAATTCCTATATTTTTCTTATTATTTTATGTTTCAGTTTTATATTCACTTGGGGATTTAATCTTTCGCCATTCATTCCCTCTTTTCTTATTTAAATGATTTTCTCGATAATCCACGGAAATCCGTTCAGATTTTGTTACAAAAAAAAAGTTAAACGAAATTCTTTGAGTTTTATAAAATTTAACTACTTCAAGGAATTCAAAGGCGAAAACCCCATTCGCTGAAAATCCCCTTTGTTTAGTTTTCTTTTCCGGATTTTCTCGATAGAACTATCGGAATAATTTCTTAGAATATATTCTATTGAATTTTTAAGAATAAAATTCGTTTCAACAATATTTGTGTTCTATTGGAAGAAAAAAAAATATTTATATATTTAGAGAATTTGCATTTTCACTTGTTTTTTCACCATTTTTTCCACCATTTCTATTTCATTGAAAATCATCGAATTCACACTTAAATCTTAAATGAGTAAAAATTGCAATTAATCAGGCAATTATTAAATAAAGATACGGTAAAAAAAAAAGTTTTTATAGCGTTGAAAACGAAATTTTTTCGAGAAAAAAAAATTTTTTTAAAATTTAAAAATTTTAGTTGAATGAATTATCAATAATGTTCGAAAATATTCACCGAAAATAAATCAACTGATTGATCATTCATTTTGAAAGGTGCCTTCTTACATCGCTTATCACACATCGTTCAAAGGGATTTCAATTATTTCATAATCGTACCAGGCGAGGATTTTAGAAAAGTTCGCTTTTTTTTCTTCTAATTTAAGAATATTGTTCATCAAAAAAATTTGTACCCTTGTTTTTTCAAAAGATTTTATCCAAAAATAAAAATAATAATTAATAGTTTTTAAATATTTTTCTCTTATTTTCGATAAATTAGTTCCAATTTAAAAAGATTTCTCGTAGACGATTCTTGAATTTCCTTGTTTTTCGGCTTGTTAAAGACATTCGCACCATTTTTCTGGCAAATATATTTCAGTGGATTGAATGGCTTTCCTAATTTTACTACGCAAAACTACAGTAGAATTGTAGAGTTTTTTGAGAATAAAGTTTTAGATAATTTTAACCAAATCATTTTCATCTATTATTATAATATTGGGGATAGAATGGCTCAGTGGATTGTTGCTTAATTAGGAGCGCTGATGCTGAGGTTCGGTTCCTCGCAGGAGTAAATTTTTAAATAACCTGCACAAAAATCCGGATAATGCTGGTAACTCCTGTATTTCTCTCGCCAAAGGATTCCCTGGCATATTGCTCAATGTGATAAGCTAGTGGAACGAGTTTAACCAGTAATGGTGAGGAAATTATAATATTAGTTGGGCTAACTATCTGATGAAACGATCCCATTGATAATTATCTATCTATTAGTATTGCCTGTCAAAAGTTGTTTATAGCATAATATACAATATAATATTTATTGTAAAAATTTTATCTCATATACACAATGAAACAGCGTTTGTCATTAGAATTTCATTAATAATGAATAGTAAACCAATGAAGAAAACATCTTGGCAACTGTTTATCATTGTAATAATAATTACAATAATTGATGCGAGGACTATTTGATAATTAACAGCAAAATATGTTTTTAGGCGATCGAATGCCTCTAAGCTGTGGTGCGCGATGCTTGAAATTTTGTTTATTTGTATTTAATCTCGTATTTTTGGTTAGTTTTTTTCTTTTATTAATTCTAAAACATTAGAAAATAATAATATAATATTAGAAAATAATAATAATATATAATAATATATTATCTTATATCATAAAAAATATCATAATATATAATAATAATAATAGTAATTTCTTTAATAAATAATAATAAATAATAAATAATAAATAATAATAAATAATTCTTTAATAAATAATTTCTTTAAGAGAGTGGATGAAATTGCAGATTTTCTGGAAATATTCCTCGAAATTTTCTTATATTTAATCGAAATTCTTTTAATACAAATTTTGGTTTTTTTTTTAAAGAATTCTCATATTCAAATTTCAAAATTTCAAATTGCACCATTTTTACTATATTGTATAATTTTTTCATGGATTTATTATTCATATTTATTTATTAATTGTATTTGATAAACTTTGAGAAGATTTGAGAAGATTTATTTTGGAATTTTTTTTGGGAGATTAAACCATATTGTTAAATAAAAAATTTAAGGATATATCTCCCCTATCCTTCGCTCACTTTTATTATTTATTTTCTGATAATTGGGATTTGAATATTTCAAATTATTTAACCATAGCAACATGATAGATTCTTTTCTAATCTAAGAACGAAAGAATTCAGTTTTGTGGCCTAATTTGTGTTGGCATTGGCACTTGGTTATATTTTGACCAATATGCTGTTGACAATTTGGCTGCGGCAACAGCCAAAGTGCAAGGAAATGTTACGGATGATGGTCTTAGGGAATTGGTTAGTTTCTTGTTATATTTTTATTTTGAACTTATCAAAAATATATAATTCAACTTTTGATTTCTTATTTATGAACCAAACATTACAAATATAATTTTTAATATTTTTAGTACTTTGAAAGGCTTCCTGTGAATTTTTTAATTGGATTATTGAATAATTTTCACGTTAATCTTCAGATGCCTTATTATTTTTATAATTATTGACAATAATTTCTTCACTTGTGCGATTGTCTAAATGATTGACAAGGCCTGGAAATTGCTAATAAAACTATTCCCCACGCAAATGTTCTTTTTCATAAAGCAAATTTGTTTTCCAGGATTTTCGTTATCTTGAACAGTTGTTTCACCTAATATTTCAACGATTTTCTAGCTGATCAAATTTACGAAATTTTCCTGGCAAATACATTTCATGAATTCCATTCATTAATGAAAATTGCAACTTTTTGATTTTTTCGTTTTTTGTTTTTTTTTATTGTTAAAAATCTGTCAATTTTTTCCACATTGTAAATAGTTCAAAATTTAGGCATCCAAACCAACTGCCGTTCGGCAAATCGGCATTTTATTAATTGTCGGTGGGATTATTGTTATCGTTGTATCATTTCTAGGATGCTGTGGTGCTGCCAAAGAATGGCGTCCATTGCTTTGTTGCGTAAGTTATCTGTGGTTTTATTAAGTAATCTTTTTAGTTTATTATTACCATAAAATTATTCTTTAGAAATATATAAAATTATTCTTCAGTTTGAGATTTAGGAAATAAGGAAATCACCGCGATTTACTAATATTTTTTCATAAAATTTTCTTCTTATTATTGACTGATAAAATCGCGATTTACTAATATTTTTTCCAAATAGCTGTACGTTTTCCATAATTTTTCGAAATTTGCAGTATGCCACCTGTTTAATGCTTATTTTGGCCACTCAAATAGCAGCCGCTATTTATGCGGCAATGCATAGTCATATGGTATTTCTTTGAATTTCTTAGTTTTTGGTTCATTTCTATCGTTGCTAATTTCTTTCTACACTGTAATGTTAATTTCGACAAAAAAAGTTATGGATATTTTTTAATGCTAAATTACGGTCTTTTGATTTGTTGAATTGCGATAATCTAATTTACACAAATTTGCATTTATATGAATTTATATAAATTACAAAATTTAAAAATTAATCGAAAATATCAATCGACTATTTCATAGCTGAAACAATACAGCTTTTACTGTAAAATCTTTCGTTACTGAAATAAATAAGAAATTAATAAATAAATAAAAAAATAAATAAATAAATAATATCTAGCCAGTGGTCGTCAAATTGGCCTCTGTGAACTCTCTAAAATTCGTGGGAGCTTAATTCGAATTTGATTGATAGCATTATTGGTCATTTTTATCAGATATTATCAAATATTCATTTAAAATTCTTATAGAAGTACAGGTGAGTCGCCAGCATCACCCGAATTTTTGTACAGGTTCACTCCTGTGGAAGGTTTTTGTAGTTTTCAAGTTTTAGAAAACTTGAAAATGTTGCAATAATAGTCCTTGGATAGCATGATAGGTGCCTATGGAAAATAAAGTTCAATTTACAAGATTTAATTTTAAAGTTCAAAAAAATTTAAAACGACCACTGGTCTAGCCGGACTAATCTAACATTTAGAAACCTAACAATGGATTATGCATTTCAAAAATTTTTTCCCTTTAATGAACTATTTAAAAAATGAAATATTTTAGATTTTTTCAACGAAAGAGGATAGAAGATATCTATTTTTTTTATATTAAAAAATTAAAGGAAAAATTCTTCCAGTTTGAGAGAGATTTTCGACAAATCCTAAAAGCTTCACTAAAGTTATACAATGGAACAGAAATTATGAATTCACAGATTGATAATACTGTTCTGGTGAAAGCCGCATGGGACAAAATTATGATTGAGGTTTATTCTTGAAATTCATGCTGCTTATTTTGAATACTTGTAAGTCAGTACCGCAAAAAGGTGACTGCTGAGGTTCCATCTGTGCCTCTGTCTTTTTATCATAGGAAGTCCTTGCCTTTTGTTAGTGAAGTCAACAGATTTATAAAGATTGAGTGCTATTAGAAAGAATGATGTCGAGTTTCAGTTGACAATCATGCTTTAAACTATTTCAATAAACTATATCAAGAAAAGCAGAATTTTATCTTTTATTCAGAATTCCCCATGGCATTTTAAAGATGATCATTGATGTTTTGAGGTGAAATAATAATTCAATAGGATTCAATAATTATTCAATATAGCTGTAATTGGCTGTAGTAATTGGCCGAATATTTTTTTTTTTAATGAACATTTTAGAAATCATGCTGTGGTGTTGATTCAAAAATTGGTGATTTCAACGAGAGTGGTTGGTATGCGCTCACCAAACAACGTCATCATTTTCCACCCGCTTGTTGTCCTCCAAATAAAGATGGAACGTTGATGGAATTTTGTCCAACGATATCTCGATATGGCGATGTAATTATATTTTTATACTAATTTTATTTACTAATTTTTGAATATTATTTTTCTTTCAACAATTAAAAGTTAGATTTAATTAAATTAAAATTAAAAATAAAATTAGATAAAATTAGATCAGTGAAATTAAATTAGATTTTAAAATCATAACCTATGTAGAAAAGGCCTTTGCTAGTATTTATTTAATGCAACTAATTTTCGTAGATGGAACTTCAAATGGGCGCGATTAGTATGCTGGTTCGCTTCACACAGGATTTGATTCCTACCTTTGTTCGTGATAAATTTATACATGATACATGAAATCCAGATGGTGTAATTTGTCCATCTGTACCTAAACAACCCTTTAGCGGAAGAATCTCTTCCTTTCAGCTGATGGTAACAGCCATACTAGAAGGAAGAATTAATGTTTAGGTGAATGTTTGAGAACTTTAAGCCTAATTATCTATTTACGAATTATCTTGAATAATTTCCCATTTCATGCACGCCAGAAAATATTTCCCATAATTGCACTCTTAATTTTCACCTGCACACATTGTATGGTCACTCAACAAAATGCGTTTATATTATATGTTATTATTATTACTTATCAAAACAGCGATTGTTTTTATTTCGTTGTGCGACACAAATTTTCAGGGTTGTTATAACAAAATTAAGCAATCCGTGCAAGATTTATCGACACATTTCAAAATTGTTGCATGGACAGTTATTAGCATTGCACTGATTCAGGTATTTTCACCATCAAAAGTCATGCCAATCGCACCAATGAGCACCAAACATAATTTTTAGTCTAGAAAAATTATGAAAATCGTTATTTGCACCGCTTAGAATTTCTCCATGTTTCACCGCGATTCTTTTATGAAATTCCAAGATTCTATTGCTTTCAAATATTCACCAGTTAGTTTTTCTTTTTTTTTTGCACCCGTTTATAATATTTCTGAAAAAAATCGCCGCACACTTTCAGATATTTGGTATTACGGTAGCATTCTGCTTGTGTAGTGCAATAAGCGACGATGAATTCGACTAAATAAAAATTTTACTTGTCGTACTTTTTTTTTGGCACTCTTATATTTGCTTCTTGAAAATTTAATTTAACACATTTGGCTCCCAACTTTTTTTATGGCTCATAATTAATCTTTAGAATCTGAAATGTTGGAAGGCTAAATTGCTTTTCGAAATTGACAAATTAGATTAAATCGCTTGGCTGTGAGACAATAAATATTACGGTAGGGTTATCGAATTGATAGGAAATTCATGAATAATTAAAATTCATGCGGCATGAAGCAGAACATTGAAGTTGGAAGCCAATGCATATATCTCATAGCTGAAGTTTATTGTAAATTATATTATCGATATGGAAGGAAGAAGGCTGCTGGCTCGAGGCTCAGCCTAGGCATTTGGCTTATTTTCGTTGCGCTCATCGATTTTCGATTTATCTCATAAAACACGATTAATTATTGTGGCTTAAAATGCAATAATGCAATATATGTCTGCAAAAAAAAAAATTTTATGGCACGTTTCACGGAAATTTTTTCTGCAATTTGAAAATTTTTCAGTTTTTTTGTTTTCATATAATTTAGGTGAATTTATTCACTTATTTTGCATAAATTTTTTTTATGATTAAATGAAATTTAATATTTTAAATATTCTTTTAATTTTTTATTATTTCCTTTTTTATCAATCGCTTTTTTTAAATTTTCATTTTTATTTTCCCATATAATTTGCTTTTGTTGTATTTGAAAAAGGAATATGGATTTTATGGATTTTAAATCGCTTATTTCAAAAATTTTCTATAATTTTTATGCGAATTTCTTAGGAATAGGAAAAGTTAAAAATTAGAAGTTATATTAGGTAAATATTTATCCTAGAAAATTTACTACTATCTTTTTTAAATAGATTGGATTTATTGAATTAAGAACAATAATGAATAAAATTGCGCATTCTGGACATATTTTAGATGGTAATTTTATGCCCTACGGGATAATTCAATCATCTTTTGCTTTATATTACTATAATTTTCTGAAGTAAATTGGATTAATGAAATTTTTAACACTTCCAACTTTTCATCCATAAAATATATAATTTGCAGAAAATTCAGTGTATTGGTTATTAAAATTTTTAAAGATACGAAAAAATCTGATATTTTCATGTTGGCCATTTAAAAATAACCGAAGGGGAACAGTCCGATTTTTACGCAGCTTTAGCCTTTATAATATTTTTATTCTTTTTCGTATATAATAAAAAGATACGAAACTTTCTTGAAAGTTACTTTTTGATTTGAGCTGTCGATGCAAAAAGATTTCTGAGATTTTTTATAAGAACAGATTTTTAATCTAAAAAAAATAATTGCCTCGGTTCGATTTGATTGATTTGATCTGATATCAATTGATAAATCACAAATAACAAATAAATCATCGCTGATCTAGATTAATTTAAAAAAATTAAAATTACTTTTAATAGTTTCTATTTCCATTTTTAAGAAAAAGAAATCACAAGAAGAAGCCAACTTCGTTTAGCAATGTAAGTGCTTTATCATGCTAGGTCTGCTATTATTATTGGTTCCGCACTATTTCTAAATATCCTGGAATTTCAGGGATGCCACAGCGTAACAAAGCAAGAACTTGAACGACGCTATTCGGCCATTTTTGGAATCCTTTCTTTGTTGCCAATTGTTCTGGTAAGGAAAGAAATTTTTATTTCTTTGAAATATCGAAGAACAAAAAAATAAAATAACTAATTAAATTACTTTCCTTTATTTTTGCAGATTACTGGAATAATTTTTGCATTACGTTTTCACTGGAAGATCAAGGATGATTTGCTGTATTTGTATTGAGGAAATTAAGTTATATTCATGAAATATTCATTTTCATCTGTTCTAATTTATTTGTTGCTTTTATGCTTTTTTCCTTTCCTATCATTTCTAAATTGGTTGGTTCTGTTGACTAGAAGAGACCCCATTAGGCCGAATAGCCCCTTGCTGATTCAAGTAAGTTTAAACCCTAAGCCCATTCTATGAATTCAATCTGAATTCATACATCTCCTTGAAAAGATAGGAATAACGCTCATGGCGGTAACCGAATTAAAATGCAGCTGCACCAACTGATAACTAATTGTCGTCATAGTTATGTCGTCATATAAGTCGAAACAAATGCTCTGCCACGTTATATTTTATTAGATGCCATATATATATATTTTCATTCTCAAAAAAATTCAGGGCTACATTCACTTTTTGTCTTTTAAATAAATATGTACGAAATAAAATGCTTTACTTTACAGTTTCTTTTCAGGAAACCAATCTTTAATAAAAGATATATTAATAATTTTATAAGATTTTTTTTCGAATCCTGGTACTAAATTGAGGACCAAATTTTTATCGCTATTCTATTCAGATCGCAAAATATTTCATAAATTCTATTAAATTATAATGGCGGTATTATGGTACTCATAACTAATTAAACAAAATAAAGACCCTCACAATTACTTTATTCAAACGATATTCTCATTTTATTTTAAATTTATTTCTGCAGATTCTTCCATAAATAATTAATTCGTCTTAAAACGATTATACTGTGAATTAGTGAAATGCAATTCAATTTATAAATGATGAAATTCATTCCTGAAAATAGAATATAGCTAAGATTTTCACAAAAAGAAGAGAGAAAATGATATATATTAAAAACTCCCATATTACTGGAATGCCCTTTACAAAGAAAAGGTTTCCACTTAGCTCAAGAAATTTTAATAAAGAAACAAAAATATTCAGAGTTATATAGAAGATACTTTTTGAAATGATGGAATATCCAAGTAAAACAAAATGATGTTTTAACTTAAAAAGAAAAATAAAAATTTCGATGCTAAAATATTTCGTTATATCGGCGTAATCGGATAAAACACTAAAAATAAAAAAAATGTATAGAAAATAAACGATGTTGAACTGCGAAAATCGAAATATGCGTTATCCATATTGATCAATAATTTTCAAAGAAAATGATAAAATTATTTTTTAAGCCTTAATAAAACACCCTCTTCAATTTTTAAAAACGGCATTTATCGTCAACGTAATTTTTAAAAATGGAAAATTCTAACAAAAATCGAAAAAATTCTTAACAATGAACGGTCGAAGATGATGACAGTGGCGTCCAATAAAAAGAAAAATATTTCATAAAAATCTATTAAGATTCATGACCGTGCTGGTAATCGAAATCATACTGATTTGAACCACTTCTTTACAACGGATATTCAGAATGAAGATTCTCTGATATCGGCCTCGATAGTCTTAGCAACACCATTTGTCGTCCTTCGTCCACATTCATCTTCTGACTACTTGATTTATCGCTTTTCTGCAATACTGCTTGTTCCCAAAGTATTTGCTAAAGCTGCAGCTCGGCGGCGTGCAGCAGGTTGATAAATTGCACGTTCAGGACGATCCTGTAAAAGCTTTATCCTTAATTAGAAAATAATTATTTCAATTATTATTAACGTGGTCAAGCTAGCGAAATTAGAAGCCGATTTATATCACAGTTCTTATCAATATTTTTCATTTTTACTCACAACTTTTTTCTTTTCTAAATTTCACGAGAAAAAATTTAAAAAACCTAACCTTATTACGACGTCTTATTTTATTCGCTTCTTCTTCGTGATCGCCACTCAGTCTTTCTTTCTGAAGCATTTTTTCTTCAAATGTATCTGAACCAGTATGTGTATCCGAACTTTTCGCACTAAAATGAAAATATAGCTGGTTAAAATTCTATTCTTTTTAAAATAAAACACAGATCTATAAATGAATGATCTTCATAAAGTTACCAATATAATCTAAAAAATCATTAAAATTAGATTTATTCAAAAAAATTAAAAATAGTACTCGGAATTTTTCTCTAAATTTTGTTGTAGCGATTCAGAGCAATCATTTTTGGTTACTTTTTTCTTAGAAATCGATTTGTGACTCAAATTAATTCGCTCTATAAGTTTTTCCTTTATACCTGAAATAATTTAAAGGTTAGAAGAGATAAATTTATGATGAAACGAAACAAAAAAACGTAAAATATTTACCATTACAGGCTTCATCTGAATTCTCTCGTAATTTAATAGATTCCGTTTTTTCTTTATCTTTTTTAATTGAATTAATACGCTCATTATCATTATTATTTCTATATCCACTACTGGATTGTTGAAAACATCGCTTTTTTTTCTTTTCTCTGAAAAATTGCCGAATAACTACAAATAAACAGTTCAAATTACCATAGAACATAAAATTTTTTTTCGAAAAATATAAAAATAATATAAAATACAAAAAAAAATTTGATTAACGCACTTTTCTTTTTCAGTATTATGTTCGTCAATTTTTTTATCGAACTTTGTATTATAAAATTCAGTGACATTCTTTGCTTCATTATGCTGCGCACCACAAACCTTAAGAATTTTTTCCTGTAAACGAATAGCACGAATACGCTTTTCTTCATCGCGAGCAGAACGCCGTGCTTTTTCATCTTCACGTACACGTTTCTAAGATATTTTTAAATATTTAAGATAAATTTAAAAATTTATAAATTCTATAATATTATAAACATTGTCAACTCAACTAAAAAATCTCGGTGGGAATCTACAAGTATTTTTATATCACCTTTGGCGAAAGGTCACTTTAGCAAATAATCTAACTATAGAAAACAAAAATGATGAATGTTCTAGAAAAAAATCTAAAAAATAAGAATGAAGACAACAAAAAAATTTGAACAACGAAATATTTTCAACTTACGACAAACTTAAATTTTCTAAGATAACAATATTAAAAAAATTAAAAATACCCTAAAATAAGGCTCAAACTATTTATTAAAAATCTAAATTATTAAATACTAAAAATAAAAAGAAATAGAAATACTAGAAATATTAATAGAAATAGAAATACTAGAAATAGAAATACTAGAAATAGAAAAACTAGAAAAAAGAAATATTGTACAAATGAACAAATGAAGCTAAAAAACATGGGCTTTTACCAGTCTTTTGTATTTTTCTTCCATTTTCTTCATGAAAAATTGGGTCAGCGGAGTTTCTTGCACCGAATTTTCTAAAATTTTAAAAAATGAGGTATTAAAACTTGAACTAAAACTAAAAAAAATGATAAAAATAAGAATCATACCAAGCGCAAGGCGCTCTTTCTCTTCGATTTCTCGAATTCTTTTTTCAATCGGCACAATTTCTGGCTTTACTGGATTTTCACGACAATCCAAAAATATTTTATATTCGATTTCTAAAAAGAAATAAGAAATGAAAAACAACAAATGAAATGAAAATTTACGGACAGGAAACAGGCAAGAAAATCTCGAAAAATATACCTGATTCTATCGTGCCACACCGCTTATCACGCTTTTTTGAATCTTCCAACTTATGTCGATAAATTTTCGGATTCGGCGCAAGCTCAACTAACCCCATCGATTCTTGTCCTACAAATCAACTAATAGTAAATCAACTAACCTCTAAAAATTTAATAATAATTCATTTCATTAACTGCAAAAATAATCAATATAAGTTCTTCTTCGTTAATTTATTCATAAAAATAAGAAATCGATATCTATTTTAGAAATCGAATATCGAAAGAAATGACATCAAAATGATACAAATCACCATTAGAATCGATGAAAATATATCCATTAAATCGATTTTTAAAGGCAATCAAATCTTCATCGTTTTTAAAAACGAAATATACTCTTGCAAAACTGAATCTTTCACTGAAACCAAAAGAAAATACATGCAGTCAAATTTTTTCACAACAATAAAATTATAAAATTGAAATATTACTACAAATTAATTAATTAACTATAAGTATTAAATAAAATTAAAACAGTCATTAAAATAAGTCGAATTATGATTAAATAATATTAAATCAAATTAACTCTGGATCTGCGGCCACAAATTCACAATAATCAGTTTCAGGCAATGGATGTAACTGCGTCTGAAGTAAATCCCAAGTCATTGCAGTGGGTAAGCGCCGTAATACAATCTAAATTGTATAAAAAATAAAATTAAATTAATAAAAATTTCGATGCAGTTTTATCTGCACAGAAATTAATATAACAGGAGTTGATCTACTTAAAATAAGATATCAACCTAATGCAAACTTTTAGGAATTAGGAAATAATAATTGATTATTGATTGATAACTGAATTGATTGATTGATAACTGAATTGATTATTCTTTTTATTAATTGAAAAAAGCAATTGAATTTTTCACTTTAGTTTTTGTCACAAATTTATCAAAATGTAAATCGAAACAAGAAAACAAGAAAATAATGCTCTTAAACGAGAATTTAATTCTCAACTGAACAAATATTGCAAACTATTGATGAATATTCATATTAATTTAATATTGCAAATTATTGATGAATGAATATGAATATTTCGAAAAAAAAGAAAAAGAATTGTATCTGGTTGGCATAAATATTCTAATGATGAAGTCTGAGAAATCTAATGAAGAAAAGACTACTACCGCTGATAGGCTCTTAGCAAAGAATATTGTAGCTGCCGCTGGGACCGATTACATTAAGGAAGTTCATCGACATGGAAGAATGGGGTCACGCAGGCCACAAGTACTTAAGATTCGACTTGAAGATATGGCTCCGTCTATTTTGCGTAAAGAATGTGCGCTCGATTATTCCCCATGGAAGCTTTTTGCGGAAAGATCTAACGAAAACAGAATTATTGCTAGACAAACATTTGTGAAAAGAATGTTATATGCAAAATCAGAATCTGAAGATGTTGTCAGAAAATCTTCAAATAGTGGAACTCAGGCAGCCTTGCCAATGGTTTACAACGAACAATTTTTCGATTCCAACTTTCTCCCATCAATCTACTACAGCTTAGGACAACTTGTCAAGTAAGGTTAATAAAATAGGAAGTAATTCATTTTTATATATAATCAATGCAAGAAGTTTCAAATATAAACTTAATATAAAATACGTAAAATATAAACTTTATGATTTACAAATCTTACTAAATGATAACCCAAATAATACTTTTTGTATTAATGAAACGTGGTTGGATGACTCTACTGATAATCGTGAATTAAACTTCGATGGCTTTTTAGTTTCATATAAGGATAGAACAATAAATAGTTTAAATACTCGTGGAGGTGGGGGCTTACTTATCACGCTTATTCCTGATTATTATAAATTTTTAACTTTTGATGATTTTGTCTATTCCTCTTTTGAATTTCCTAATAACTAAAATTTATTTTTATAATAGAAAAATTTTCCTTTTAAATAATTCACTAGGGATCTTTATAAATTACTATTTAGATTAAAATTATTTGGTGCCGATTGTTGTTAATTGTTGGTGATGTTAATATACCAAATATATTGGGGAAATAGTTGCTTGAAAAATAGCAGCAATTTTGAAGAGGACTTTCTAAACCTTTGTATCTATATCGGTCTAGAGCAACATGTTAAGACTGCCACTAGCTATAACACTATTTTAGATGTTGTGTTAGCTATTTCTACTTCTTTTGTTGATAACATTAGAGTCTTAAAACCTTTTTATAATAATGATCACAATATCATTCATTAAAATTGAGCCGATATGTACCTCCCTCGAGATATTCTAGAAATTACCGTCATTATGAAATCTTTAATTCTATCATCGAAGAAATAAACTGGGATTTCTTATCTGTTTAACTCCTTCTATTGATGAAAAAGTTAACTTCCTTAATAACATCATTTTAAATCTTATAGAGCAATATATCTAAGAACTACTCTAAGAAAAAAAAGCGTTAAGTCGATTCCCATATTTTTAAAATCTCTTAAAAAGTTTATAAAGTTTATAGAAGCTAAAAAAAGTTTATAGAAGCTTTATAATAAAAATAAATTAACCAAATAGCCAAGTGATCTCTCTGCATATAAAGTTATATAAAGAAATTTCTGTAGTGCCATTCATAATTACTTTTCAAATAAAGAAGGAAAACTTTTAAATAGTAATAGAAATTCTTTCTGGACTTACATCAAAAGAAAATTTGCAAATAAACAATTAATTTTGCAACATAATGATAATGTGATCACCTCTGATATTGTATGTATATTTAATCAATCAATATTTTTCTAGTTTTCTAGTGTTTTGTTGACGATAGTATGCATACTTTTTTTTTGTTTTAAAGTAAATCGAATTTGTTGTACTTCTTTCTTAGGTTGAAATAACATTACTGGATGTTTATGATGCCTTAAATAGACTTAAGCCGTTCATTTCAGCTGGCCCCGATAATATTCCACAAATAATTTATAAATGCAATTAAAATGTGCAGTTTCACTCCCCTTTTTTAATAAAGACATTATGAAATCTGACCTTAATCCCAAAATTTGGAAGTTGTCTCATATAATTCCCATACATAAAAAAGGAAGCACCTATAAATCTTCCAATTATAGACCTATTAGCCTAACATGAATTGGTAGCAAGATACTCGAAAGGCTGATTTGCAACAAATTGGTTACTTATCTTGATGCCAATAATTTTATATTCCGTTATCAGATGGCTTTTGTACAAAAATTCTACTTCACAAATATTGGCAAATGTTTCCAATTGGTCAGCATCAATTGACAGTATCAGTTATTAGTAACAGTATCAGTATCAGTTAAGCACTCGTATACCTAGATTTGCCTAAAGCTTTTGATACTAATTGCTATAGCAAATTACTGATCACTCTTAATAGTTATGGCATTACAGAGGCCCTTTATAACTGGGTGCCAGATTACATAAAAAATCGTCACCAAGCCGTACATATCAATAACACTCTCTCTGACATAAATCTGGTGTTCCTCAAGGTAGTTGCATTGCGCCATTGCTTCTTCCATTATGTATAAGTGATATCACCAATGTGGTGATTGTAAAATTTAATTCTCATGGTAGAACAGATAGCCTATCTGTACTGCAGGAGGAAAGAATAGTCAACTGGCTATATTATAGGCAAATTACCCTTTCCTTTCAAAAATATAGCGTTCTTCATATCAATTCTAAAGGTTTCGATTTTCCTAATCTTATTATTAATGGCAATATAATCAATATAGTCTCACACATTTTCGATCTTGGAATAATTATGAAAAATCTCGATTTCGACCTTCACTGCAGAACCATGGTAAAGAAATCCTCAAAATACTAAATTTTATTTTTCGTTCGTTTAAGAACAAACTGAAGATTTCCTTATCAAAATATACAAAGCATTCGTTCGGCCTCTTCTTGACTACAATACTATATGTTACTCTCCTAGACATCGCAAAACAGGTAAAATAATCGAAGGACTCCAAAAAGATTTTCTAAGGCGCCTCTCTCCTAATTGCAACTTTAATTATAAAAGAAAACTTCTACAATATAAACTGGATTCTCTGTCAGTTGTTTAATGCGACGAACTCGTCGCATTAAACAAGATTTAATTTATACTTACAAGATTCTGTATGGTTATGTTAAACTAAACTAGATTGTTTAAAATATTACAATTTTAGGCTAAATTTGAATCCAATAAGAACAAATGGACTAAAATTATTAAAACCTATGTGCAAAACTAAACTAAGGACTCATGATTTCTTTATTCGTAATATTAATTTCTGGAATAAATTACCGAACGACATAGCTTGTGCGCCATCCCCAGCTATCTTTAAAAAAAGAATAGATAATATCATTTATAATATTATTTAAAAAGTTCAGATCATGCAAGGAAGTGTGAAATCGCGATTTTTACCATCCGATTATAATTGTTTCGAATTGTACTATTTTATATTGTTTTATAATTTCCTCTTCAATTCTTTAAATTGTTAATTATATTTTATTTTGTTATTATTTTTTGTTTTTATCATTAATTTTTATTATTTGTTATTTTAACTGTTGTTATTAATACAAGCACATGGCGTTAGCGCTTTGCTTGGTTGATTTTCAATAAATAAATAAATTCTACTAAACCACTAACAACATATTTCGATAAAAAACAATATTTTAATAATAATAAACAGGAACGAGAACATCACATTTTTTGCTACCAAAAAATGCTGTTTCTGATTTAAATGTTGTTATTGCTGTTATTATTAAATTCCAACGGATAGGGCAGAATTAATTATTTTCTTGTCATGAATTCCCAAATTTCCTTTAACTGTTTCTTCCTAACAACTATCAGCTATCTTGTCTTTTATATTATCTTTTAACATCTCACGCTGCTATATTGTTTACTTACATCTGCTATGGTGATAAAAAGGTCTAACGATTTAAGATTTGTGGAGAGAGGATTTACTATATAAATTCTATAAAAGAAAAAAAAATTAAAGCTAACTTTTATCGGTGCCTTCCTTCGAATTTTTTCTTTCTTATCGGAAATATTTTCCGACGCCATTTCTGGCTCATCACTGCTCATAATGTTGTCCTCCGCGCTTATCGTTCACTTGTCTACTAAAAAACTAAATGAAATTTTCTCGCAAAAAAATTATGAAAAAGAATAACGAGAAATTTGCAGCTAAATATAAACAAAATGAAAGAACTAAATGAAATAAAAAAAAAAAAGAGAACCATAAATCGAAAATATTCAACGGAAGTATAAGACAACAATTGTTATCTACCAAAAATACTATTTAAAATCAAATCCGACCCTTTTTATTTGTCAAAAAAAACTATCACATTTGCTATAAAATCACCATTCCTTTCAGTTAAAGATTTGCAAAATAACGATAGCAGTAGTTTTGATATGATTTGTAAAGATAAAAAATTTCTAATTGACAAAGAATAGCTCCGAATAACTGATTAATGGTGTCATTGGCCTCCAAATGTAAAGCAATTAAAAACCATTTGCCATTTGTGCTGCGAACTTAGCTATACTTCTATCTGACTCTTTTTTCACCAGTGGCAATGTGAACTTAACGAAAAATGGTGAGTGCCATAGAAAAAGAGGAAACAGCTTTCATAATTTAAGTTTACATAAGTGTAAATTGCAAATGCCAAAGAGCCTTTTAACAAAACCATTATGAATGTGAAAAAAATTTTTTTTCCTCTCCTTCGTATTTAATTTATGGACTATTTTGAAGCAAACCTGTCATGAAATTAAAGAAAAGAGTAACTACTGAGGACGCAGCTGCACTTTCCAATCTAACTCTATGGTGAAAGAGAACTGTTGTTTCCTCGACATGGCGTTCGTATCCTTTGTTGTCCATGATCTTCCTCAGCTCGTTGCAAAACCTAATAAAACGATCCTAATGTGTAAGACTCGAAACCTGTAATTGCTTGAAGCTGGTCAAAGGAAACAATTCTTTGCAAGCAAAGCCATAATAGCGTTCATGAGAATGCTCACAGATATTGCGATTCAAGCGACCACTGCCCACATTCTTCATATCGCGTAATCTACTTATTGGAGGTCCGTCTTTTAGGGGTAATCATCACAAACCGCGAAGAGATAATGGCTATGTTATGGCACTGATTCGAATAACAAGGAGCGAAATAAAGTAGCGACTGACATGCCTAAAGAAGTTCAATTCAATCTGGTTGAGTGGAATTAATGACCATACTAGTTTCAAAGAAGGAAATTGTCTTGCTTGCGTGTGCTCTACTTTATGCGCAAATGAACGTTAAAGATATGTTCGATGTGGAACTGCTAACTGTAATTTCTCTTAAAAGGTGAAATGATCATAATCAGAGATTGAAATGTGCAAGCAGATTATTGTGTTGCTGAGCGGCAAATATGCATCGGTAGTGAATGAAGAAACGACTTCTTCTACTTAGCTGAAAACCATCAACTTTATTTTGTACCAGAAACGAAGAAGACATCTAGGAATATGGAATTCTCTAGGTAACCAACAATCCTTCCAGGCTGATTGTATTCTGGTCAGTCGTTAGAAGAAGAGTTCCGTATTAGATAGCCATTCCTATCATGACGCTGAAACATGGATCAGAACATATTATGGATCTGCACGAACTGATAACTCGCAGGAAACTGCATTCCTCCAACTATATCAGACTAAAGACTTGAGAACAATAAACGTATATGAAATTGAATTGTAGAAGTGGCATAAATATCAAGGGGACTTCTGGGACGCCCGAAGAACAATGATTTCAATCCTAGAAATGGCCAAAATATTTGGTATTTTCCCTCTTCAAGTTGCTGGTCTCCTTTAACAATTATGGCTTCATGAAGGTTTTGTATAACTGGACGAATTTCTTAAAGGACCGATACCAAGCTGTACGCATCAATAACTCGCTTTCAGGGTAAACTCCTCAAAGTAACAGCATCGTACCACTATTTTTTTATATATATTAAGACTATCACCGAAATTATATTAAACTCTATCATTTATCTTTATTAAAATTTATTATTCTCATGCCAAATCGAACAATTCATCTCTCTCCACCAAAAGATGACCTCAACAGAACTAAAAGATGGCCTTAATTAGTCATGTGATAGCAATGATATCCTTTTCCACTTAAAAGTGTAGCATTTTTCAAATAATTTGCAAAGGATTCGATCTTCCTAATCTTTTTATTAATGGCAGTATAATTAGACGATCTCGAATACTCATATCCTGACATTGAAATCCTGATATCCTTCACTGCAAAACCATAGTAAAAGAATATTCTCAAGAATATTAAATTTTACTTTTCGGTCGTTTAAAAAACAGAATTGAAAATCTTATCAAAGTAGGTAAAGCATTCGTTCAGTCTCTTTTGAGTATACTACAACCTGTTATTCTCGTAAACACCGCAAATCAAGTAAATTAATTGAAGAACTCCAGAAATACTTTGCACTTCGCCTCTTTCCTAATGGCAATCTTAAATTATAAAATTACGACTTCAATTGTACAATCTAGACTCCCTCTCAATTCGGCGAATTAAACAAGGCTTAATTTATACACATAAATTCTACAAAGCTATATGAAATTAGATTGTATTATAAATATTATATTATATTTGTAAATGTTGTAAATATTATATTATAATTATTATAATATAATTTTATATATTATATCATAATTATTACAATTTTAGGTTAAATTTGACCCAACAAGATCTAATACGCTAAAATTAAACTAATGACTTTTTCATTCAAACCAATTACTGGAATAAGCCGCCGAACGTTGACTGTGCATCATAGCTGTTTTTAAAAAAAGATTAAATAATATCATCCATGATATGATTATATGAAAACTTCACATCATGCATAAAATCTTGATTTATGCGATTATTTGTTATATATATTCTTATTTGTATTGCTCTGTGATTCCCCTTTATTTGCATTATTTCTCTTTACTTTCTGTTAGCTTTGGTCATCTTCCTTCTGCATCTTATATCGCTACTATTAATTTCTTTTATTTGGCACATAATTTATTGATAGTGAAGCACATGGTGCTTATCGTCCTGTAGCTATTTTCAAATAAATAATCTTTTCGTCCCTATACTAGTCGATGATAAAGTACCTATTTTGATCAATAAATCATGGGAACTTTAAGTATCTTTATAACTCTGACATCAAATGATCAAACGAAAGAAGAAATTCAGCTTGGATAATCGTAAAAATGCATTCTTTAGTCTATGGAATCGAAATTAGCAAAAAATTATTACCAAAATGAAAATCTGCATCTGAATAACTGTAGTTCGCACGATTATTATAATTGCGAATCATGGCCAATAAAAGGAAAAGAATAGAAAATGAACTAAGACCTGGGCTGATTCAATTAGGAAAGATTTTGAACGAACATGTTACGAACCAGCGATATATGTGCGACGACGAAAAAAGAAATGGCTTCTGTTATTGCAGCATCAGATTGAGCAGTTGTCGTTTACTGCCAGCACAATCAGTTTAACCAGTAATAGCCGACAGAAGAAAAAAATAAATATATTTTTACGACCAATGAATGGAAGATAAGAGAGAGTAGAAAATTTGTAAAATTAAAATTATAAAAGGAAAGACTTGAAAATTAAAAATCACAATCACCACCAGAAAGCTCGAGTCTTACATAAAATCAAGACGATGCTAAAGAAGAAAGCGAAATCTAAAGGAGAAAATTTAAGTCGTACGTTGTTTCGATTGAGATCCAACTATAACAAGTTGAATTTTCCTTTCCACAGGAGGAAACCTATCAGGCAGTTGCTAATGGTACTCAACTTCATTGCAACTTTCTGGTACTATTTCTATTTTCACAATACGTGGGATAGAAAATTTAAGATGAATATTCGATCCTCAATATATAAATTGAAGAAAAATGATGTGCAAAAAAATGTGAATAATAGAAAATATACGATTTGTGGAGTAACTGTGAACAATAATGTTAAAAAACAGAAATGAACGATGAAGAGATATAATATCATCTATTATTATTCATCTATTATTATTAGCATCTATTATTATTCATCGACTCGTCCGGCTAACCAATATCATTTGCTTATGCAATACATAAGTCAACCGATCCATTTTTAAACTAACGTTAACTTATGGGATGTCAGCCAGGAAGCCATGCTAACCATATAAAAATAATCGTATATATATATAGTAATCTCTTATTTATTAACGCTAAAGGCTAATAAAAAAATTGAGAAAAACGCTAAGCAATGGAAAAATAAAATTAAAAAATCTGAAAATTAGTATAAAATTGGAAAACTGCCATATATATTGATATTTTATTTAAATTATTTTCCAAAAAAATACATTAATTATTTGATTATGAAAAAGTATAAACAAGAAGCGTTCGCTAAAAACAAAACAAGTGATACAGTTCAAGCTGAAACAAGTTTACAGTCCAGAAACAATAAAAAAATAGCCTAGAAAGAGATTGGACCGATCAATTTAAGAAACACTCCACTCACCTCACACCCTCCCCCCAATCCTCACCTACACATTTTCAAGAAAAAAACCCACGAAACAGAGTAACCAACCGCCCAACCGTAAACTGAAAATCGTAATAAGACCCAAACTGATTTAAATAATTGAACGATGTTAATTACAACTTAACGATCAGGCTATTCCTCTCTTAGATATCTCCCACCACTTTCCTTCTCACGGTTTGTGATTGCACGCGCTTTTCTTCTTTTTCTAACAGATCTCACCATTACTGGTTAGACTGGCTCCACTGGCTACAAGGGTAAGACGTTTCTCAGCTGTTTGGTCCGGTGCCATTGCAAGTTATAATAGAAGCCATTCTTTTTTCCATCGTCTAAGCCCATACATCGCTGATCCCACTATCTATATTCAAAACCTTTCTCTTGACTATATCCAGCTCCATCTCTATCTCAACGTATTCACTGGCAAAAATTGTACCGTACTGACAACCAGTATAATAAGCCTAACCAGAAATATTTCGAGCTAACCGGTTGTTTATTTGCTTATTATTAATCTAATTGTTTTCTTATTTGTTGTTAAGAAAGCAAAAGATTGCAGAATAGATTATCAAATTTATCACTGATAAGAAGTTTATGGTGTACGAGAAAAAAGGAGTATTTGGAAGGGTGATTGTTTGAAATATAGGAAATAATTTCTTTATTTCGATAAATTTGAATAAATGAAGTATAAAATAAATTTATAATTGTAATTTTGTGCATTAATTGCTGATAATAGTGATAACTGATAATTTCATTCCTAATGAAGCGGTTTGCCTACCAGACATGGAACTCTCTCTAAACTCTATATCTCTTCGGACATTACACGCTAAACAACCAAACACGTATAGCCACGTGGTCGCATATGCAAAGCTCATAACTTATAAAAAAGCGAAAACAGATGGTGACAACGATGAATGAAGCAAGAAAAAGCCTCCTTAATACTAAATTTTAGTATTTATAGGATTTTCCAAGGCGATTATACATTGTTAAAAATAAAATTTCATTGTTAAAAAATAATTTCATTAGTTTATTTAATTTAATTATGATAATTATTTCATTTTAATTATTTTATTTATAATTTTATTAATTTTTATTTTAATATTTTTTATTAATTTTTTTTAAAAAAATTTTTGATATTAATTATTAACAATTTTCTAAGTCGTTGTTAGGCAATTAGAATTGCATTATCGGTTGTTTATTTTTTAATTCTAATTTATAAACTATTAATTATTAATTAATCACAATTTTTGTATTTCTTTTGATAATTTCAAATTAATCAATTTTTATGATTCTTTATTTGATTATTTTTTAGCAATAATAAACGCGTATAATTGCAAACATTTCGCTTTGTTGTTTTTCCTTTGTTTATTTTTTAGTGGAAAAATTTATGGATTTGAACTGAAAAAATTTTATTATACTTTCAGCGACAATAAACTTATTTATTAAATGAATATGGGATAAGTGAGTCGCGTCGCGCTTTTATCCTATAACGTATTCAATTCCTTGTTTATTGACGAGTAGGAGAAAGGTAGGCGCTCGCGGAAAGAGGAAATAAGGAAATAAGGACAAGAGAAAAGGATTCGCATTCTTCATAAAATTGAATCTGCACTGGATTCTTAAATTGTTTAATAAAATTGCAAAAGCGTGCAAAAAAAGACCCACTACCGCGTTTTCAAATTTAGGGCCGCAGCCGCGGTTACTGGTCTGGCGAAAGCAATTACCATTGTTTAACTCTGCTTCTCTGATTCGGCGTTTTTTATTTATATTTACATAAATTTAATCTTATCCAGTTATTCCTTGTTGTTTTAGTGGTACCAAGGCTTAAGTACCGCCGTATAACTTAAATTCACCTTTCATGATTTACTAATAACCATAGAAATGAGTTTTCTAGAAGGTTGAAAATTTCATAACTTTTCGGGTTAAATCCTTAAATTGAATATGTAAAGAACGAAATCTGAATAAATAATGCTGATAATTGTGAAATTTTCAAAATCCTTTATTTATTTATTGAGTCGAATTGGAGCTATAAATTTTTGATCTGATTTTTATTGCCCTATTGCCTTTTGACTCCGTTCGAATTGATTTCTATTTGAACTTTTTTATATTTTCATCTAATTGTTTATATGAGCTTTTCGTTTAAGTTTCGTTTTCGTTTAAGTACATTGTGAACTATTAAATTTCCTTTCTTCGAGTTTTTAATCGAAAGAAAATAAAGACAGTGAAATATAATTGTTTTAGTTGAATATTCAAATACAACAGATTTGCCAAACTACCAAATTGAAATGTTTTTTCTATTGCAAGTTTTATTCTATCATATTTCGTGATATATCGGTATTTATTTCGTTTCTTTAATTGATTTTATCTTTTTCCTTAAATTTCAGAAATTAGAAAAAAATTTTGCGAAAAAAAATGGTCGATAGTGATGATGATTATCATCGGCGTAATGCTCGCGAGAAATTCGTTCGAGAGCGTAATGATTATTCGGATCGAACACGACAAAAGGATTATGATTTTGACAGGTGTTTTTTCCTTCTTTTATTTTGTCCATTTGAAATATCCGTTCAAGATTTTCATCGTATTTCCTCATTTTAATATTTGTTATTATTTTTCGTTATTTTTTTCTCTTCGTTATTTTTTTATCATTTTTTTCTCGGCAATATTTTAGTTAACAAATTTTGCTGTTCATCGGTTAATCGATTGCCTAAGAGCATTATAATTGCTAAAAAGGCTGTAATTATGAGGAAATTCAATAAATAAATTTTTTTTTTTTTTATCTTTATAATAACAGGTAGTTATTATATTTTGATAACAGGTAGTTATTTATCTGTAGCAATCTATAGAATAGTCTTTAATTATTAGGAGATTTTTTTCAACCACAGTTGATTTGAATTGTTTGGCTCAGATATTGGTTTACGGGATAAATGCTTCAAATTTTCACTTTTTTTCTTAGAGATAATAAAATAGATAATGCAGAAAATAAAAAAGTCGAAATTTTGGAATATATTTTTATATTTTATATATACATATATATATATATATATTTTAAAGTAGGCGAAATTATCAACGCGGTGATTATTCCAATGGTGCATCATTGAAACGATCATCTTCTGCACGTCGCGAGGAACATACTAGTATTAAGAGGAGTCGAATCGAGTTAGCAGCTATTATTTTTGCCTTTTTTGCTATTTAAATTTATTTGGGAATAAAACTAGGAGAAGAGCAAAGAAAAAAAAGAAAGAAATGGAAGAAAAAAATAAGAAAAAGCAAAAAATTTAAAAGCTATCAAATTATTTCTTTCCTAAAAATTATTTTCTCGTATTTTTCATCTTTAAACGCGGTATTTTTTAAATATTTTTTTGTTATAATTTTATTCAGAGGATATTCTACTTTTTTTTATTTTTTTAAAATAGAGAAAGAAAAGTGTAATTTAAAGAAATTTAGAAGCTTTCTTATTTTTCGAAAGAATTCTTTCATTTTTATCAGATTTCAGTAGCGCATCAGATTCCTATGATCCAGTCATAAAAACTGCGCAAGAAGAGGAACCACAGCTTGTCATGAAAACCTTCAAAAAGTTTTTGGCTACTCAAGACGATTCAATCACGGATGAAGAAGCTATTGCAAAATATTCGGAATATAAAATGGAATTTAAACGTCAAGAACTTATCAAATTCTTCAATTCACACAAAGACGAAGAGTGGTAGGTTATGATAATCGGTCCCGTATCCGGTATCCTTTCGTTCTTAAGTTTGTTGGTCTCGGATTATTCGTGGGGAAATGTGCCATTGAAGACTTTTGTTTTGGAGGTTTTTTAGAGTTTTTCCTCTATGTAAGCATTGCAAATTTTTAATTTATCGTGTGCTTCAATTTCTGTTCTCGCATTGATTTTTTTTCTGCAACTTCATATATCATAGCATCAATTGAAAGGGTTAACCAGAGGCGCAGTATGCCGCGGTACCCTTTATTAACTCAGTTATTCGATCTTCTTCAATGGTGCGACAATCTATCTACATATCTACAATTTTGGCAATTTCTACAACAAATTATCTACAGCAAAAAACAATCGACAACTTCTTTGACATCTAATTTCTCCATTTTCTTAATATTGTCTTGATTTAATAAATTGTTAAAAAGGAATAATTCGATTAACAAGCGTTTATTTTATTTTAAATTAGGGCTATATTGTCGTCCGATTTAATTATTGAATTGTTGCCTTCAGTGAATAATCGAACATATGATTTTATTGACTTTGAGAGATGTTTATTTAGGTTTCGTTTGAAGTATCATCCAGATGAAAGTGCTAAGCGAAAAGCAGAACAAAAAGAAAATGTCCATCGACGTCTTGAAATATTTCAAGAACTTCAAGAAAAGGGTCGTTTTAATAATCTTCATATTGAATTCGAATCTGCAGTCGATATCATTCATATTATGGACACTTGTGAGCGATTTTTTTTAGTTTTCAAATTCCATACTTTTATTTTATGCTTACTTCTCTTGCTCTGGTAACTTTATAATTAATTTCAGTGGTCGTAAAACTAGAAGGTGGTACCGACGACGATGTTTCTGCACTTCTTGATGAAGTAGTGGAAGATGAATCCGTTACTGAATTGAGAAAAATGAAAAGGTTGTGTGTCATACTTTTTCTTGGCTTCGTTTTTAATACTTTTTTTCAGTTTTATAAGGATGACATTGAGGTACTTTTAAGAGTTTCTCAAAGTGGTTTATTTCATAAACTATGGCAATAGGAAAAGGAATATATCGGTTTAACAAGTACTTTTTAGTGAAATGAGAAGTGAGGTCAAAAAAGAACGGCCTACAGGCCAACGTGATCCTTCACTGGAGAATAAAAACTCAGAAAACCAAAGCGAAAAACCAGCACGTAATTTTGATGAGGTTGATTCTTCTACTAATGCAGCGAATAATGCAACTGCTGAAAGCAGGGACGATGGTGCTCTTAGTGAATCGGATGATGATAAGAAAAGTGGTGTATTTAGTTATAATTTTATGCATAATTACTATTTTAATTTATAATCTAATCAAGCCAGGAAAAAATTTCAGTACTCAAGCTGCTGTAATAAATTTGTTCATAAGAGCAATTTATTTTTAATTAATAAATTTAATTAATTTTTTAGGCAGCGTATAAATTTATATATATTCTTTTATTTTTATATTTATATATATTTTTTTATATTTCTCTTACTAAGTTATCATTGCATGAAAATTCATTTTCAGGGAAAATTCATTTTTCTTAATATTTGATTTATTCAGTTTCACCATAAAATTTTTTCTTTTCTTGAAGATATTGGAGAAAAGAATGACAATCGACCAAAGAAGCGAATGGTGTTGCATAAGACATCAAGCATATTTCTTCGCAATGTTGCCCCAAGTATTATGATACAAGAAATTGAAGCGGTGTCGTTTTTATTTTGTTTTTTGCAGCTCTTATAAACAAATTTTTTTATAATTAGGGCAAAAAATCAAGTCATTTTAGGTATGCAAACGTTTTCCCGGTTTTCTGCGGATTGGTCTAGCAGAGCCTTTGCCTGAAAGAAAATTTTATCGTCGAGGTTGGGTTACATTTAGAAGAGACGTGAATATCAAAGAAATATGCTGGAATTTGAATAATATAAGGGTAATGAATTAAAAATTTATTTTATACTTATTTATTTAAAAAGAACATTAGAAATTTTCATTTTTTAGAATATTCTTGTCATATTTTTGAGTTTCTGATAAATAGTCATAACTATTTTAGATACGCGATACTGATTTGGGAGCAATAGTTAACAGAGATTTGGTGCGACGTGTACGTTGCGTAAATGGTGTAACAAACCATAAGCAGGTAGCTCAGAATGATTTGCGACAAGCTGCTCGTCTCACAGCTTTGTGTGATAAAAAGGTAAATTTTTTTGCCACACATAGCCGTGCATTTTTAATTAAGGGAATAGGAATAGCTTTCTTGATGAAAGTTGAAATCAAGTGCTAGACATAATTGGTTTTTATTTTATTATGGAGGATATTCAAATAAAAACAATAAATTTTTCTCATTTTCATTTGAACATCAACAAAAGTTTTTTATTTTGTATATTCTCTGTCCATATCTTTAATAGGTTTGATCTCAAAATTTTTTTAACTTGCACTATGATCAGTAATAAATAACAAATTTAATAAAAAGATTTTATTTTATTTAGGCTGGTCTTTTTCAAAAAGAGGATGAAGAGAAATCTGTAAATGAATTTGGAATGGATCTCATTGTTCGAAGCCTCAATCCACTTTTGAAAAATCTCACTGATTTCCTGATCGAAGAAGCCAGTGCTGAAGAAGAAGAATTGCTGGGAATCACTAGCGGTACTGAATAGATGGTCTTAACAAATTCGATTCACTTAAAATAAAATTCATGCAACAACGTTATTATTCTTTATTGCTGACGAAAAATGCAGAACTCGAAATCTCATAGAGATATTCTTGGTTTTTTTCTAAAGTAGTCTATTGTTCATGGTTAAAAATAAAAAAATTTCCTAAAGAAGGATAATAAACAGATAATTAAGAATAATTCGCGACAAGCTGCTCATTTCACAGTATTAATATTTGTTTTAAAAGGGTATTATAGGATCATTCGATTATTCAGATTATTCAGGAGATTCTAACGGCGATCAGAAGGTTCCATTTCATAAAGATATAGAATTATTGGAAAAGTTGGATCGAATTATTATATATCTTCGTATAGTTCATTCAATAGATTTCTATAATCATGGTGAATATCCAAATGAAGATGTTATGCCGAACAGGTAAATTCATATTCCAATGCTTTTATTCTTTATTTTTAAAAAATGATTACAAAAAATCAAAGAGCGATATTCATTATTTCTTATAACTTTATTTTATTTGATAAAAATTATTAGATGTGGAATGATGCATGTGCGTGGTGTGTCACCTTCCGGATCGCAATTCACCTCAGATGAAAACGGCAATGTTTTATTGACTCAAAAATTCATAACAGACTTCACTGTCGGATTCAATACGCGACTTGAAATAAATTTAATTAATGAGACTGTTTTAACTGAGAAAGATCTTGAAAATTTAGGCAGAAAAGATCCAGATAAGTAAGTTTTTTTCAAATATGATTAAATATGATCTATGGTTTTGAAATGATTTCATGAAAAAGAGATGAGAAGTTAAAACTTAAAAAATTCTCGAACTTCGATTAAAATATTTTGGAAAATTCCATTCGACATGAATTTTTAAATAATTTTTTTCATTTTTTTTTATAAAATTTCATTTCAGAGAAGTTGAAGCTTTTATAGCAGCAAATAGTGTTGAGCTTGCCAAGGATAAATGGCTTTGCCCTTTATCAGGTAAAAAATTCAAAGGGCCTGAATTTATCCGTAAACATCTGACTACGAAACACCAAGAAAAACTGGATGAAGTTCGCCAGGAGGTATAATATAATTTTCATCTTGTTTTAACGTCTATAAACTTTTAAAGTCCAATCCGTTTTTTCAATTTTGCGTATAAGTTTGGATTTTTTGCCTATTTATTTTTTTTAATTCACAGCCTTATTGCGGTAATTTCTAGGCTGAATATTTCAATAATTTCTTGACGGATCCTAAACGTCCGCAGAGTCCAGAAGCTAGAATGCCTGTTCCATCTGTTTCTTCAACACAAAAAGAAGAACGTCGTGAGCGTGATAGTAAGTTATAATTGGCTTCTTGATCTCTTCCTTTTTATCATTTTTGTATAATATGATTTCATTATTTCTTTGGTTGTGGTTATTACTTCTTTTGATTTTAAATTTTTGCTTCTCTTTTCAAGCTTATGAAAACGATCGCTATACTAGTCGGACTGCCAGTGGCGGCTCATACAGTGAACGAAGTCGTAATTATGGTAGCAGCAGATATGATAATCGTCGGTATGACAGAGGCGGACCACCGAGATATGGTGATTCATCTGTTGGAAGCAGGCGTGATCCACGTGAGCCAATTATCTACAAAGACTTGGATGCTCCAGAAGATATTTTCTAATTGTTTTACTTGAAAAAACTTTTTTATTGTTGATTTTTTTTACCATTCAAATTAATACATATGAATTTCGCTCTAACTTTTTTTTAGACATGAAGCGATATTCGTTAAAATTATTAAATCAAAAAATAAAGTATAGAAAATGTGAGAAAAAAGCTGTTAATAGAAAAGAAATGAAGGACCCATTTTTGTTTTTTTTGGGAAAAATTTACAAGAGTCGGATAATTTGCTTGGCTTGGCTTGATCGTTTTATGAAAAATTTGAGTCTTTTGTCTTAGCCAGTAATTGATTAATAATGGTTTTTTGATGCAGCATTTTTAGTTCAAATAAGGGAAAATAATCGACATAGAAATATTTTTTCTTTTTTTCATCTGAATATTTTCCCTGAAAAATTTTACCTCAGAATTGAAGACTGAATTTTTATTTTGATATATCCAATTAATTTTATATTTCGCTTTGGTAAAGATAATTTGTTGTTTTTTTTTTTTTTGTTGGAAACAATTGCATTTGATAAACAATGATTTTTTAAATAAATTTTTAGTAATAAATTTTACTTTTGGACGAAGAACTCTGATAAATTGTTAATGCTATATAAAACTTTTATTAAAATTTGGTTAGACTGTTCAAGAGGTTTTTGGTTTGGCTGGGTACACTGGTTGGCTGGTTGCTTAATGTAATGAGGCATTAAACAGTTGCTTTGATGGGTCAATTAAGGGCCAGTACGGGTGGATCATTAGGATTTAATTCTCTTTTCCTAATTCTCTTATTAAGCAAATTTTAAAACCAAATTATTTGTTCCCAACTATACTAAACCGATTTGTTGTAGTTCGTCTTTCGTTGAACTGGTATCGTTAATCTGGCGCAGCCAACATAATCGACGAATTCAATAGCTCAAGCCATACATTCTACCAATTTTGGTGGAGGTCTATTGTCATTAAACGTTATACGAGTGAAGAGTTAAGAGTCATTTTCAGTGGAGAAATGGTGTGTGAATGGTATTAAAGAAACTTCAGAATAGGAATTGCCGGGCCTGTTTGTATATTTTGCATGTTAAAATTTGATTGTACAGTACTTAGTGAATGAAGTGCTATGTTGGTCGATTTGCTACCATCGTGCCGTATAATAAACTTTAAAATCACTTTAAAAAACGCTAATATATGGCATAAAAAAAATAAATGTATATAATAAAATAGTCGAGGGGGAATTTATGGATGGTTTTTATGGCCATTCAAGTCTCGTCATTTATCATTTTCTGCTCATAGATAAAAAAGAAAAATTTTTGCCTCTGCCTTCTCAACGATTCTCAGCGCGTATAACAGCAACTGTCTACGTCTGTTAAACTGGTTTCTTTATATTGAAAAAGAAAGACTTAGAAAAATTTTTTTTTCCTTGCACATTTATTTTATCTAATTTATTTTATATATATATTACAATCGTAGAAATATCTTCTATTCATACTAATCGATCGAAGAGATATTTTGATCGCCTTCGAGCAATTGTCATAATTTTAGGTTTTTTTATATATATTGGAAATAATTCTATTGGTTTTTATTTTTAATTTTTACTAACGCAATGTTCTTTAACGAAATTCGCTACTAAATGACGATAGTGTTTTAAAGAGATCGACTTTACGGTTATAATTTGTAAAGTGGTTTCGTGATCGTATTTTTGAACGAAGTTGCTAGTATAACCATAGCTTTTAACGAGAACGACTTCATAACTGTAGCTTTTAACAAGATCGATTTCATGACCGTAGCTTTTAACGAGAACGACTTCATAACTATAGCTTTTAATAAGGTCGATTTCATGACCGTAGCTTTTAACGAGATTGACTTTGTAACCGTAACTTTTAATTATGGGTTGGCCTTATGCCTGTATTGCTTCACTGTCATCAATATTCGATAGGTTCAGTCTCTTATTCTCTAAATTTACGCTACAAGTCGTTTACAGTGGAATATAATTTACGCTACAAGTCGTTTACAGTGGAATAACAAATAGAATATTTTTTTAAAAAATTTTTATTCTTTAAAATATGCTTATAGCTAATTGGTTGATCAAGATGGGCGACTGCTTTGATAGAGATTTCTACAATCCTCCTCTATTTCCATCGTCAAATGCCTTTCTGGTGAGAGAGCCTCACTCGAATAGTCAAAGTCAAACCAGAAATGGTTGATTGCTATTCGAAGGAGAAAAAAGTCTTATCATCCATCTGATAAATTCTGTCGGCAATAATTAAACCAGTCTTTTTAAAATCTCAAATCAATTAAAAATATTTAACTAAAATTGATTATTGAAAAAATTTTAAATTAAATAAAATTATAAAAAATAATTAGAAATAAGAAAGATTTTTCATTTCTATTTTTTATAAATAGAAAAAAATTTAAGTATTGAAAAACAATTAAAAATTTCTACGAAAAAAAAAAGAATACGAGTGATGAATAAATCTTTAGAAAATTTTTAATTTATAAAAATATAAATTTTCGCGAAATTATAATTTATTGCCGATTCGATATCCGTCATTTATCTATTATAATTTTCGTGATAATTTGCACGTAATGTTTCCGGTTTGTTTGATTATTCCGAAAATGAAATCCTTTTGCTGTAGACTTATCGCGTGTCCTTTGTCCTTATAGTATCCGAATTTTTAATTTTTAATTTTTTTTTTATAGTAAAAATTAATATAATTTTGGTTGTTCGATTATAAAAATGATTAAAATATTTCTACCAATAATTTTTTTAATTGCCAATAGCATTTGTAAAGATGAAGAAGAAGCGACAGAAAAGCTAAAATGGAAAGACGATGATGGGCTCGAGGTTTGTTTCTTATGGCTGTGGCATTTCCAACCTAAAAAAAAATGCTGAATTAAAAATAGAATGACAATTTAGAGAGTACCATTATACCAATATCAAGTGTTCACATTAAATAATATCCATAAATAAGATATTTAGGTGAAAATTATTCGACGAATAAAACCGGAAAAATGCACAATAAAAAGTCAACCCGGTGATATCGTCGATCAGTATTATAAATTAAGCGATGCAAATGGCAATGAAATTGGTTCGAATTTTGGAAAAAAACCGTAAGGTCATATCTGATTTAATATATGAATGGTATCCAATCTTTCACTGCTGATCAAGAAACGGTCTGGAAATTATGGTGGTACTTGTAAATTCTAAAAGCTCTTTATGCTTCCTTAAAGTCAGACCTTCATAAATCATCAGTTCTTTATCACTTGCAAATATCACCAATTAAGCCGAATTGTGAGATATTGCAAATTCTGGTCTCCCTTGTATCGTCATTTTATTATCCTTGTTTTGCTTACTACTGTGGAATACGCTTATACCTAATATTCAAGCTCAGGTTTTCTTATATAATTTGTCTACCTATAAATAATTTTTTTTCTTCCTACTCGCTTACAGTTAACAAGAAATAGATTGTGGACAATGGTTATTAATTTGTCTTTTCAGCTACACTTTTAAACTTGGAGCAAAACAAGTAATCGAAGGAATGGATCGAGCGATGGCCGGTATGTGCATCGGTGAGAAAAGAAAAGTTATCATACCATCAGCACTAGGATTTGGTAAAGAAGGTCGCCAGAGTGATTCGATTGAGAGTGGACAAACCCTCTATTACACCGTGCAGTTGGTCAATATTTTTAGACCTGTTCCTGGACCAACATGGACCGATGACGATGGCCTTAAAATTGAGGTTATCCACTTTCCATCAAATAAAAAATTTTTTTAAAGCTAACACTAGGCCAAGGAGTCGCTTTTATAAAATTTTATAAAAAAATCTTTTGTTTTGTAAAAAAAAATTTCGTCAAACACTTTAAATAATCAGTTGATGAATTATTAAAATAGGTAACACATAAAATTGACGAGGATAAATGTCGTAAATCGGAAGCCGGCGATACAATTCACCAACACTATACGCTTCACCTGGAAGATGGTACATTTGTCGACTCAAGTTATAGCCGTGGTGCACCTTTCATCTTTACGCTTGGAGCAAAGCAGGTTTGCCTCAGTATTTTCTGCGATTAATTTTATCAACACTTTTGCATTTCACACTGTTTTTATCCATGCTAATTGGATAAATAATCTTAGCTTCTAGATTGAAACTCCTTTAACTCCTTTTAACTCCTTTTTCATATTTTATTCATGATCTTAGGTGATCGATGGAATGGATCGAGCGATGACTGGAATGTGTGAAGGTGAAAGACGTAAGGTGCGAATTCCTCCAGCACTTGGTAATATTTTTAACTCCTTTTTTAAACCTTCAAGTCAGCAACTTTTTATTACATGTTTAATAAAGGTTATTACAAATAAGAATGGAGTTATTTCGTTAAAACCAGGCCTTACCTTAATCGTACGATTCTCCTAATTCCGGAATTGGTGGAAGTTTATTATCTGATTAGTAAAAAATTAGTGCTTTTCGGCTTTTCTTATAGCAATATGCTAATAGTTATTCGCAGAATTTTATATTTTTCATAAATAAGATGCATAAATTTCTGAGATATCCATAGCTTTTACCAGGCTTTCAGAGGTATAATTTGTACGAAATCGTTATTATTTTAATATTTTAAAAATAATGTGGTCATAAAATCGTTATAAACCCGAAATTCGCTAAGTCAGAAATTGCTTAAGGTTATGGTGACGATGGAAGATCTCCGTCGATTCCTGGAAAAGCTACGCTTTATTTTGAAATTGAATTGCATAAATTAATCAAGCACAGCGAACTTTAAAATGAAACGAATTTTAATATTTTTGCTGAAATATTTGTTATAAAAATATATATTATTTAATTTACTGATGATTATTTTGTTGAAAATATTTGTAAGTAAATATAAAGTTTAAATTTTGTTGGAATACTAAAGTCTTAACTCTAACTTATTTACATAGAGAGATGGAATGGCTTGGTGGAATATTGCTCCTATCTTGGATTACCGATGCTGAGGTTCCACTCCTGGCAGGACTAAACCCATATTTCAAAAGTTTTGATGTTGCTAGTGACCCATTTGTACTAGTGAAGGTCAAGTGAAGTATAAAATTTGCCTAGCTCGACAAACGAGCGGAGCAAGAAATGAAAAGTCATTAGGTACAATATTGGAAAACCCCGCATTTCTTCAAGTAAATTAGTGCGCGTGAAATTTACATTATGTTTAATGAAATGCCCTTTTAATAAATCTAAAAAAAATTAAAATTTAATTTTAAAATAAAGTTATAAATTTAGTAAATAAATAATAAATAAATTTAAAATAAATAAAATTTAAAAAATCAAAATCGAAATTTATAAAAGGATTAGATTTTCAATAACACATCTATTCACATTCATCATGTTACCCTCCGCATTTAGGAATATTATCACTTTACCAATTAATTTCAAATTACCATAATATAGTTTAAATGAATGATAAAAGATACAATAAACTAGTTAAAGAAAAATGACTTTTGAATTTTTTGAATTCAAAAAAATCCTTGACTAAAAAATAAAAAACCAAAAAAATTCTGTATAATTATTTTGTATTCTGAATAATTTAAATAATTACATTATTCAGAAATGCAAGTTTGGCGTTAATTACTTCAAGTAAAAATGGTTAACCATTTCTTATCACCTGGCAAAAATAAATATATATCACTAAAAGAATCTACTCGTGGTACATCCATCTGATCTTCTATCTCCAAGTAGCTCTGATAAAAGGTGTCTCATTTTACCACAAAAGAATAAAACCCAACTAGAAGTATCTATCAAACACTAAGTACTGATTAAGTATGAACTACAATAATAAAACAGATAAGCGAAACAAAAACCAAAATTATTAGAGATGAAACAATGAGATTTTTCTATTATTCATTATTTAGATAAAATAAAGAATTTTACAATTCGCATGTATTCGCATATTTTTGAAAAATAAAAAATTTGCACTTTTTAAATGGATGAAGTACCATCCAGTTTAGGTAAAATTACATTTCTCCTTTGCGATAATCGTAGAAAAAAATGAAAAAAACTCGAGACAAATAAATACGTAACTATACTAAGGTTATAAGGTTATACTAAATCAATATTAAATTCAATATTAAAGTTTTTTTATATAAAATTCATTTTAAATGAAATAGCTTTATATAAAATAAGTTAAAATAAAGTAATGAAGTTTAAATAAATAGAGTATCTTTGAAGATTTTCAAAAATTACGAGTGTAGTAAGAGCGAAACCTACGAAAT